CCCCAAAAGTACTTGATTTATACTTCTTAACTACCACATATATAATATATTCTCAAAATCACATACACAAAATTCACAATTCACACTTAATCACATAATGCATAATAAGCATACAATACGAGGAAACAATTTTGGATTGGCAGAGAAACTTACCTTAAGTCCTGATGCTCCTAGTTATCCTCCTCTAATCCGGTCTCTAGATAATCACCTTTTTAATTAAATATGATAAATTAGTCACTTATTCTATTTGTAATTACCTTACCCGATTTTCTCCTTTTATTTTATTATTCGCATAAACTTTGGTTTATTAATCACTTTTTATTAATCAAATTACCTTATGAATTCAGCCATTAATTATAATATTTGAATAAAATATCCGAATATAATTAACTACAACATCCAATTTTTATTCAATAATCACCATTAATTTACTCTAATTATTATCTAATTACTTTATTTACATAACCGAAAATATTTATTTTCCTTATTTTATTCAAACATTATTTTTAGTCCAGAATATTATTTTTCAACCTCAGTGATTTATTTATTTCACCATTAATACTAATATTTCCTTATTTAATTACTTAACTAGTTTTATATGGCCTAATTTAAATAAATAGACTAAAAATCGACTTTATAAATTAGTAACCGTCTATAACTATATTTTGGGTCTATATTCGACCTAGGTTGTCCAGATATCTATTTTATAATTATTTCCCATAATTATTCCTTTAATTTCATATATCTATTAACCGGTTTAATTACAATTAAATATAGTAAACCTTAATATTTATTAATTATAAATGGTCCATAAGGTCCTAGATAGTCATATATTTACCCTAGTTTACTCCAATATTTATTTCATAATTATTTTTGTTATTTAGTTAATTATTTACTAAATGTGTATAAATTAGCCCAATTACCATTAAATCAATTAAAAATAGCTAAAAATATTATTTTCCAATTCTGGTTGGTCCGAATATGTATATTTATACTAGGTATTTAATTTATATTTTTCCAGATTTTATTTATTTCATTTACTATTTTATTTTTAATATTTATTGCAACTGGGCCGAACTGGCCCAAAATAAAACAACAGGCCCAACAAGAAAAAAGGCCCAAAAAACCAGACCAGCTGGGTCTTCTTCCTCCTCAGCTCGCCGGAAAACGGGAAAAACAGGGGGGGGGGGGGGGGGGGGAACGGGAAACGGCGAAAAATGGTGGTAGCAGGGCGGCGAAGGTCAGAGGTGGTACGGCGGCGGTGGCAGCTCCTCCCTCTTCTCTGTTTTCCGTCGAAATTTTTTTCCCCGGCGAAACTCCGGCGAGGCTTTTCTCCCTCGTTTCACGACCGTTTTCGACGATTCTTTTTCTGTTAGATTCGTATCACGAAGGGGAAGGTTTGGGAAGTATTTTCAAGGCTTGGTTCTGGCTAAAACGCTGGGTCGCAAAAATATATATATATACGTATATTTGTATATTTCTTAGTTTTTGGGATGAAGAAAAACGCAGGTTCTGGCCTATTATTTATAGTGAAAGATGAGGGTTTTAGGCTGGGATTTTAGAGTTGGAGTTGGAGTTGGAGTTGAGGTTGCCGGGCAACAAAACCTACCGGGAGTAGTTTATCTCCCGTAGGAGTTTACTTCTATTGTACGTATGTATATTTTTAGTTTATACTATTATTATTACTTACGTATGTATATTTAATTAGGAGTTTACACGTATGTATAGTCAATTTTTAGTTTATCTCCCGTAGGAGTTTATACGTATGTATATTTAATTAGGAGTATATGTATGTAGTAGTACGTAGGTATAGTATTATATATACGTATGTTATACTATTATTATTACTTACGTATATATATATATATGTATTATGAGTATTTTAATTATTTAGTATATACTTTGTATATTATACAACCTAAAATAGTTATATAAAAATTAATTTTATACTAAAACATAACTTCTATTATCGGGCCATTTTTATCTGATTAAAAAATTTGTGAACTTGGAAATTTTATCTGATTAGAATGTTACGACTGTTGAATTTTTGTCTGACTCAATTAATAATTAAAATGTTATTTTCGTAATATTTTATCTGATAAAAAAAATTATTTTTATTTTTATTTAAATTTTTGAAGTGTCACAACAGCGATGGCCAATTCCTCGTCCTCAATGACTTGCTCAAAATCTTCGGCCTCGACCTCGGCTACAAGGTCATTTGCACCTCTTGTGCTATAGCGGAATCATTGTTGGAAACGGCCTCGGAACTTTGCGGCCCTTCGTCAGTCCAAGTCTCTGACTCAACCGAGGGCTCTCCAGAGATGTTTTATGAGTCGCTAGCAGACGACATCCTTCAGTGCTAAAGAGGAATGGAGGTGGAAGAAACGAGAAGGGTGATAAGGGACTAACACTAAATCTAAAGGGGGAGGATCAAAATACGAATAAACGGCAAGAACAGAGGATGAACTGACCTTGCAAATGGGGGTTTGATCGAACAGGTACTTTCTCTCTCTAGAAATTTTTGGCCAGAGCTTCGCTAACAACAAAACGCTTAAAGGGGAATGGAATCCGGCCAAAGGGTATTTATAGGCTCCCCCAACCACAGTTAGGGCCTAGGTTTGGGCCTCGGGTTAAAAACCCATCATTACGAAACGTCACCTCAGCCAACCGGTGACGCCCGCCCGTAATGAGCCAACCAGGCCACGCCACGTGGACACCCTCTCCAACAGTAATATCCCAACGACTATTTTTGAAACACCAGAATGCCCTCAGCTAGCACCCTTCAAACAAAAACAGAGCATGCCCTCGGGCTATCACGTTCAAAGACCCTCCTGCCGCATTTAGCCTTCATCATGGAGGTTGGGATAACCTCTCGGGAGCCCTCAGCCCTCGATGCATGGAGGCCTGGGGGATCCCCCTCGGCAATCACCGCCCTCAGATCAAAGACAGTCCTCGGATTTTCGGGGCTACTCTCCACAGATTATGAATGGCCCTCGGCTTCAGCATTATCCTTCATCTCAGACCGAAGGGTTTACCTTTTTACTTCATTGTGGGGCACCCGATGTACTCTTTTTCCCTCATTATGATTTCTTCCCACAGGGTTTTTCCTAATGAGGTTTTTAACGAGACATCTCCCCAAAATGAAGCAAAATGCGTCAGCCCTCGGCTCTCTACTGAAGACAAGCATTACTCTACTCCTTCTCACCCAATGACATGTGCCTCAAGGAGTGGGGGGATGGAGAACCCTTTCGGGAAAATCACAGGAAGTTAAAAAAATTCTCAAAGCATCAACAAAAGCCTCCAGAAATGGGGGACTGACAACTCCCCTCGGCAGCACCAGAATGAAAACAACCAATGAAAGGAAACTCTCACAACAAGGACGCCTTCGGCAGAACAACCACAATTACTCCTTTTCCCTCACGTACCTTTCGGCAAAAGGAGTGAGGGACTCCTGATGGAGTATATGGCCCGGGAACCCCCGGCCCACAGACTCCTACTCCTCCTACACGGGCCCATCAAGCCCGAAGAACACACATAGATCAAACAAAGCGGCCCAAGCATGAGGAAGCCCACGTTGCACATGTAAATGCCTTCGGCCCTATGGCTGAAGGCTCCAAATTGTAGAAGGCAACTTGATATGGACCTACTAAGCTTTTGAGCATTTCTGGGCAAAATGTTAGCCTTCGGCTATTCCACGCCCTCGACTGTATATAGCCGAATATATTGCCTTCGGCTATATATTGCCTTCGGCTATATATTGCCTTCGGTATTCGTACCATGCCCTCGGTATTCCACACCTACGCCTTCGGCATACAACAGACTCGACGAAGATTTCTTTTAGAGACAAGCAACCACCACATTTAATGCGGTGTCACGTCCAACCGCCGCATTTAATGCGGTGCACATGTAAATGCCGGTGCCACCCCGATTGAGGTGAGCCTCGACCGTCAGATGTTTGACATGTGTCCTTGTCTAGCATTTATGGCTACTATAAATAGCACCCACTTTCCATTGTAATCGACAGACAACATTCATACTCGAATACACTCTCTCTCTCTCTTACTTATTGCTCTGGCTTTTCTCTAGGTTATTCCCCGAAATAACCCCTCGGATAAGCTACCCCCGGGCACTCTATCCATCATCCCCAATTTGGATTCAGGGGGATTTTAATGGGGTTTAGAATTCCGTCAGAATTCAGGTGTCCCCGATTTGAATTTCTGTGGAATCCATGAAAATAAGGTGTCCTCAAACATTCCATGGATTTCTGTTGTTACTTATTTGCATGGATTTTAATGGATTTCGATGGATTTCTATATACAAAAAAAACCACCACAATCTTGTAGACTCCCATGTGATTTCAAAATCCATGATCTTTTAAAATCCATCGAAGTCATACGAAATTTGTACGCAGTTGACATATATTTATATGTAATTGTCTATGCACAAAGATGATGTGTACACCCTTTAGTTTACACAAACAACTCGTGTAACAATTGTCTGTGTATATAAAAAATTACGCACAAATATGTGCCGAGTGTTTATAAATTTTGTGTACGCTAAGAGCACGTTTGGAGACTCTATTTTTCGGCTTATCGAGATTATCAATCGATTTTTTAATCAAACCCGTAACTTTTGATTTCACGCGTTGAATTGTGTAATAATAAGAAAAAACAAGTTTGAAATTACTTTTCAGACTATATTGTTTGAAGTTATTGTAGATGATTATTTTAATTATTCTTTCATATATTTTTTCTTTATTTTATTAATAAAATATATTTAAAATATAATTTTAAATATATTTAACTAATTCAGTCACAATTTTATAAGTTTCTGGAGAATCAACTAATTCATTCTATTTCGATGTTAACAAATGGAGTCGAAGTTGAGTTGTTTGAATTATTGGATATGGTGAAAAAACTGTTGTAATTTGGGTAAAATGTGTGGGCAGGCCACCATAAGCAGCGGACATATAACGTGGCCTAGCTGGAGAAAGCAGATGGATGTGCCTTTCACAATAAAATCCAAAAAGAAAACACAGCTAAAATTACCCACTCACTCCTTAGTCAAACTAAGGGACCCATCCATATGTACATCAGAGCTCGAACAAGGCGAGTCAGAGACGACGATGCTTAGCGCTTCTCTCTCAGTTGCCTTCTAACATCATCTGGTGGTTTATGGAAAGTCAGATTTCTGGGAGGAGTTGACCCTAAACATTTCCAAACTCGGATATTCTCTTTAGGGCGGGGGAGGGTTGTCCACAAGTGGTATTTATTGTGTCGGTCATATTGTGTGGTTTCATCTTTTAAGAATCGATTTGAGGGTGTCGTTGGGTGTTTTTTGGGGTTGAAACTGGAGGCCTTGAGGATTGGGCATCTCCCATTTCTCCATCCTTCCGAAAAAATCAAGTTTTGCAACCTCATCTTTGCCGGTAGTTGGGGGCATAAATTGGAGTGGTGGAAGTTTAGGGTAAGACCCATTGCATTGTGGAGAGAGCGAGAGCGGTAGAGATGGCTTGCATGAAGCTGGGATCAAAATCGGATGCATTCCAGAGAAAAGGGCAAGCATGGTACATCCTTTTTTTGCATTTCAATTTTCTACCTGATCTCTTTGTGAAGCGGTGTGCGTTTATATGATTTACTACGTATTACTTTTTGCTGCATTTTTTATCTTCCGTCTTCTAACTTGTCTGTACATCCTGCTTTACTTTTTAAATTATGGTTTGCTATTGGCAATGGGAATAAAACTGTAAGCAGTCGAGGGAAGATCAACTTCCAGTTGGCTTGAAGTGGAGATTTATAGATCAGAGATGTTTTAACTCGTTTTTTAAAGTTTGTTATTCGTATGGAATGTAGTTAGTAGTTACTTTCTCAAACAACTAAATCACTTTCCATCCATTTGTTTGCCGGCTTAAAAGAACACATTTTGAGCGTAAGGTTGTAGAAGATCAAAGTTGTGTAAGGCCTAGAATATAGTCATTCTGTTCATTTTTACTCGTTCTAGCAGTTTTTCATGGAAATAAAGAGTAAAGTTTGAAATGTAGTGAATGATTTGGAAAAAGTGGGGGAGAAGATTAAGACATAGGACATATACGTCTTCTGAAGATAAATATGTCGGAAAAACTGCCAAAAATGAACTGGATCAAATACTAATACACTCCTGTAAAAGAAAAGTGGAACAAGTAAATGTGAGTAGAGAGAGTAGTGAACTTTGGAGCTAAATGCCTGAAAAAGATAGACTTAAACCGGCACGTCAACTGATTCACGCCTAACTAATACAGAGTATGTAGTGGAGTTAGTTTTACTTGTGATATTTTTGCAAGTATAAACGTCGTCTCCCTAACAACAATGATAACGGATTTCTAGAGACTTGGTTCTTACTAGACGGTTTTGGTTGAAGTGCTTAGTGTGAATTCTTGTGAATTATGCACGTATTTCTCAAAAGTAATTCTGCAATAATTTTACCCACAGGTTCTGTACAAGCGGTCTCCCAAGTGATATTGTTGTTGAAGTTGGGGAAATGTCCTTCCATCTCCACAAGGTAAAACTTGAACATCTCCTCTCCAACCCCTTGTTATCTCCTATATGCTGACCTTAGAGGTTCATGACTTAGATGAAATACTGCACTTTTAGTTAGGCATGGGACCAGTTCGGTTCTTATGAAAAATAAGTGGAACCATTTTAAAAAATGAAACTCAAGAGTTCGGTTCGGTTCCGATTAAAAAAAACTAGATTCATTATGGAACCGAACCAAGTGGAAACGGTTCGGTTCTTGCATTTTTCGGTTCCTTACAACATTGTGATATTTTGTTTTTGCAACACTAAAACCATCAACATCTAAAGTAATAAGTATTCATCCGTACAAACAACCATTTCAAGCATTAAAGTTCAAATATAAAAAGTGAAAGCTTAACAAAAAAAAATTAAAAATACATTAAGTTCAATTCATAACTAATACTTATAATTAATATCTAATTATGAATGTGAATGAGCAACAAAATACGAGTTTCAAATAAAATAAAACCTGAAATATTTATATTACAATAGAATGCTAGATATGCAAACATGCTACACACGTTCCCAATTCAGCAACAAAACCCCCCTTTCAGATATAAAAATAAGAAGGCAACTAAGCAAAACCAAAATTCAAGAAATGGAGTAAAAGTTTGGGTTGGTGAACCCTTAAATGACACTTCTCTACTTGTAGGTGATGAAATAAAGCAACGTTAAAAATAGTGAGCGCAGATCTGCAACAAACAACCAAATGAAAGATAACTATTCCAGTAAATTCCATTGAATATTGGAGTTACAGATTTGCTTTTGGATCAGAATAGCTCAAACAAACAAATATTTGATAGCCTCGTTACTTTATGAAAGCTGTTTCATTCTATTACGATTTACTTCAAGAGGCAAACTTCCGGCTTTTGAAAGCAAATTGATTCAATTCTATATATAAAAATAAGTTGTACCGGAAGAAGAACACCAATAAACACACATACAACTGGAATCAGCTCATAAATATTCCATCCTGAACCAAATCTAAACCCCAAAATCAATCTTCTGAATAAGATCAGACATCTAGACCATAATCGAAAAGATGAACCCAAAAATCCCTATGTATAAACCAAAACTTAACGATCTGAATTAGGGGAAATTAAAAAGAAAAAAATATACGCTTACCTATGACTTCGTCGCTGATGAACTTATCGGGATGGAGAATCTGAAAATCAAGAATCTGAGAAAAGAATAGAAAAACAAAATAGGCTACGGTTTTTACTTTCTGCCTTTTCTCTTATGCATGAAGATTGATACCGATGAAGTTATGGATGAGCTTTTAATTTTTAGCGGGAAGCGTCAAAATACCAAATGTAATCTTGAGTGCTCGACAACCCTTGTCTGTAAGACTGTATTGTATACCGGTTCCACATTGGTTCTTTGCACAATTTTTTAACCGGAAACGGGAACCGCACTGATACTAGCTACCAAGAACCAAACCAATTAAAATTTATAGCCCAATTAAAGGAACCGAACCGAACCGGGCTATAACTGTTCGGTTCGATTTGGTTTTCCGGTTCCCGATCCCAAAATCTCTGCCCTACTTTAGTCCATTATTACTTGTTTTACATTATATCACATTGGACCCATCTTTCAGATTTTGTAAATTTAGTCCCTCTATTGCCATAACATAATTGAGATATTAGTCCCTCGTGTTAAAACTCATTGTTTACACCATTAAATTTTCTGAAACATTAAGCGTTTTTGGTAAAACCGTTTAAGCCAAATAAATATGTCCCTCAATTTTCTGAAAGGAAAAATGTTTGGAAAAATCATTTCAGCCAAATAAACAAGTCAAAGGTTGCTTAGTCTTCTGACTAGAAGAAGAATGAGATGATTAATGCTACCAAATGAGGCCTAAATATCAGGTTTTATGGGGGTATTATCAGTATTGTATATTTCCAAAATTGTTAACGTGCATGATGTTAGTCATTCAAAAGCAGATGTGGTCAACTTGCATGATTTTAATCGTTCAGAAGCTGAATTGTTCAACTTGCATGATGCTATTATTATTATTATTATATTATTATTATTATTATTATTCATTAACTAATTAATTAATGCAGTTCCCGTTGCTTTCAAGAAGTGGATTTATGGAAAGACTTATTGCAGAAGCGCCTACAGAAGGAGAGAACAGTCATTGTACCATCACACTCCATGATGTTCCCGGCAGGGCTAGAACATTTGAACTAGTAGCTAAATTCTGTTATGGGATGAAGCTTGAACTTACTGCAGCAAACGTTGTACCCCTCCGGTGTGCTGCTGAACATCTTGTGATGAGTGAGGAGTATGGGGAGGGGAATCTTATCTCGACCACAGAATCTTTTCTAAACCAAGTTGTCATCCGAAGCTGGAAAGACTCTTTAAAAGCTCTCCAATCATGCGATGACGTTCTTGCTCATGCTGAACGGCTCAATATTCCAAAAAGGTGCATCGACTCGTTGGCTGCAAAGGCGTGTACTGATCCAAATCTATTTGGGTGGCCCGTAATGGAGCACGGCGGGCCCATGCAGAGTCCAGGTGGGAGTGTGTTGTGGAATGGGATAAGCACTGGCGCGAGGCCCAAAAGCTGTAGCCCGGATTGGTGGTACGAGGATGCATCAACGTTAAGCTTACCAATTTACAAGCGTCTGGTTTCGGCTATGGACTCTCGGGGAATCAACCAGGAGATAGTCGCCGGTTCCCTTTCTTATTATGCAAGAAAGCACTTACCCGGGCTAAACAGGCATCAAACCACTGTTGGTATGGGACCCACACTATCTGAAGATGAGCAGAAGGTTTTGCTGGAAGAGATAGATAGCTTGCTTCCTATGCAGAAAGGCTTAGTCCCGCCCAAATTCCTCTTCGGGCTGCTTAAGACCGCTATGATTCTTAGAGCAAACCCCACTTGCATTTCAAACTTGGAGAAAAGGGTAGGGATGGAACTTGACCAGGCTGCTCTTGAGGATCTTTTGATGCCCAATTTCTCTCATTCCATGGAAACTCTTTACAATGTTGACTGTGTGCAGCAGGTTCTTGAGCATTTTTTGGCAATGGATCGGGTGGGTGGCGGTGAATCACCAACCTGTTCAATTGACGATGGACAGCTGATGGGGTCACCTTCACTTACGCCGATCACTATGGTTGCCAAGCTTGTTGATGGGTATCTTGCTGAGGTTGCCCCAGATGTTAATTTGAAGCTTCCCAAGTTTCAGTCCCTTGCTGCTGCTGTTCCAGAGTACGCAAGGCCATTGGATGATGGGCTTTATCGCGCCATTGACATTTATCTGAAGGTAAAGATCAAGCTTTAATGTTTCCCTTGGAAGGAGGGGATAATAAGAGTGACCAAAGTAGGGGTCTCTCTTATCGGTCTTCTATACTGGAGTTTCTCCTGGGTGTGTGAATAAAAATGTCACAGTTCACTTATTTATCTTTTACAAAAAGCTGTTATTTTATTTAAGGTTTTTATTTTTACTTTAGGGCTAATCGGATAAGCTCATTCTGATCATTGATAACGTGTTTCGTAGAAGTGATTTTAGAAGAACTGTTTTTCAGCTGTTGGCAGATGCCCATAATTTAGGGGTTTTCAGATAGTATTTTTAATACTTTCTTTAATCATAACTCTTCAAGTATTTGGATTTTTAAAATCTAATTTATAATTATTAAAAGTTCGTTAGTTTTGCAACAAACAAAACAATACGGAGTAACATATTAAAGTCATTTACTAAAATTTTTTAGCGGAAGTTCTTAAAGAAAGCTCTACTGCATAAAAAGGTCTACTTGAAATACCAAACAACATTAATCTTTTAACAAATCAAACATAAGTGTTTTACTAAAAGCTCTAGTGCATAAAAGCTCTAATTGAAAGCTATAACAAACACAAGATAATAACTTAAATCTTTTTAAAACTCATATCCTTTTTGCATTCACAGTCATTATTTGATGACTTGTGAAATAACTTTCTAATATAATGAGAAAATAATTATAGCTTTCAACTGAAAGCTCTATTCCGCAAAAGTTCTACTTGTAAAGCTCTACGTAACAAAACATTCATGTTTTGATAAATAAGATAGAATAGTGGTGTTTTACTAACAGCTCTGTTTATTAAAAGATCTACCTCAAACGAGCTCTACTGCTCAATAATTTTACCCGAAAAGCTAATATATATACCCAACACAGCCTAATATAATGAATTGATATCCTGTTCGCAGTCACACCCGTGGTTGCCAGAATCGGATAGGGAAGAACTCTGCAGGGTGATGGACTGCCAGAAGCTGTCCTTGGAAGCTTGCACACATGCTGCACAGAATGAGAGGCTGCCTTTAAGGATCATAGTCCAAGTCCTCTTCTTTGAGCAGCTACAGTTAAGGACATCAATTGCTGGCTGCTTCCTAGTGTCAGAGAATCTTGACGGCTCGAGACAATTGAGAGGCGGGGGAGGAGGTATGGTCGGACCACCAACCGGCGGGGGATGGGAAACTGCTGTGAGGGAAAACCAGGTGCTGAAAGTGGGAATGGATAGCATGAGGCTTCGAGTGTCTGAGTTGGAGAAAGAGTGCTCGAACATGAGGCGGGAGATTGAGAAGCTGGGTCGCACGAAGGCAGTGGGGACTACTAGCAGCACTTGGGGCAATGTCTCCAAGAAGTTTGGCCTTAAATTGAAGTCTCAGATGTGCAGTGCTCAGGAGAAGTCTGTTAGCGACAACCACAATAACACAAACGCTCTCAAGGCAGAGATTGCTAAGGGGAAACACGGGAAGCACCAGAAAAATGTGCTTATAAATTCCCTCCAAGATTAGAAATCTGTTTTTCTTTCCTTCCTCTCCCTCGTGTGTTTTGCTGTGTAATTTGGAAATCCTCAGTTCAGGATTGTTGTATTTTATGCCAAAAGTCAGAAACTTCCACAACCCTGTCACCATCTGTAATTGCATTTCATCTGGTTGTTTTAAGCACGTGAACACATCAAAACATATTGTTACATCTCCAGGAAAGGAGCGGAACCTGGAAAGGGATCTTCGCTCCTCAAAAGAAGTTCCCATTTTGTACATTGCGAATGTTCATGTAAAAGTCTATTCACATTTTTTTCATTTTTCGTCCAACCACTCCTGGAGACGGTCGGGTTATTTACCTGGATCCGTACTGGAAAAACGATTGCGGGCCTAAATTTCTTTTAGAGTTTGTTTGGTTTAGTGTTTTTTTTTGAGGGAAGAGAGGGTTGACTCGGGCCGGGTTAACCGGCCTGGAACTGGCCCGAACCGGTACTATCACGGCCTGGACCGGCCCGGTACCCGGTTCTGTGCCCGGTTCGGGCCACCCGGCCCGGCACTGTATAGGGGCGGTTCCCAGGCCTCCCAAATCACGAACCGGCCCATCCGGTTCGGGCCCGATTTGGTCCATTTTTTTTTTGTTTTTCACATTTTTTAAAAGAAATGGGTTGGGTTGGGTCACCCTGGGTGTTTTGGAGGGGTTTGGGGGGTGGGGGGTGGGGGGTAGGAAGTAATTAGAAAATAAAAAAAGTGTACACGGCCCGGCCCGATAACCACCGGGTGAACCGGCTTGACCCGGGCCCGGAGCTACCCTGGTCGGTTTCCAGGCCTCACTTCTCCAAAAAAAGCCCGGTCGTAATCGGACTGAGGCCTGGCCCGAACTGAGTCCATCCCTATCCGGATGATCGGTAATGAATTTAGGACGAAAAACTATACGAGAATATGTGATTTAACGTATTGTATATTTTATAATCTAGAGGAATATTCAGGTCAATCTAGACTGAGGAAATCGTCGTTTGCCCAAGCTCATTTGAGGGCCTTCCAAGTCAAAATTTTTGATAAATCTTTGTGAGCATTTCTTCATGAAGTGTAAAGCATTCACACAAAACTTCCGCTTAAAATTCGATCGAAAAGTCAATAAAATATATTGTAGAAAAACACTGGGGTGTTTTTTATGTATATTTTTGTGAAGTAAGTTTCAATAATTTCATTAACCGACTTTCAGATTGAATTTTAAGTTGAAATTTTGTGGAGATAATCTACATTTCATAAAGATCATGCTCACAAAGTTTAATAAAAAATTCTACCGAGAAGCCCCTCAAATGGCGTTGGCTGACGGCGGTTCCGATTAGTTTGGACCTATGTTGCACGGAAACGTGAAAATTATGAGAAAACGGGAAACGGGAAACGTCAACTCTTGCTCAAAAAACGCTTGTTTAGAGAGTTTAAGAAACGGAAACATACTCTTTCCCGTGCTACATAGGTTTGGACTGACAAGAACATTACTCCTTATTAAATCTATTCTATAGAAGAGCATTACTCCTTTCAAAAAAAACATTACTCCTCAACTCTATTCTATAGATTTAAATAGTCAGATCGAAACTATCAAAAAACAATAAGACCGACCTCGTACACAATGGAATATAAGTTGCTCCAGTTTTAATTTACACTATGACTTGGAAATGGACATGGTTTACCCCGTTGGCACCTTATCACTCCCCATTTTGTGCAGTGATTATGAGATTGTTACCATTAACACACCCATCAAGTCAATTGGCGACCTCTTGATATATATCGACCACCATTAGCACGGAGTAATATAATCAAGTTCACTATTGACAAGTTATGCATGTATATCTGATAGAGTATAAGTCTAGAGAGAAGTGAGAGCTAGAGAGAGAAGTGCTATAATTGCTCTGTATTAATGATTTTGTGAACCTCCACTACTACTCCGAGAGGGAGTATTTATAAGAAAAATTAGGACTGAGCTCCCAAGTCTTGGGTTTGGGAGACCCATTTACAACAGGGCCACTAATGGGCAGGATACAAAGTGCATAGAAAAGATAAAGTGTAAATCATGTTCTAGAGGTTGTCTATGGCCGATGAGGGCATGGCCGACGAAGACCCGGCCGACGAGGTCACCTGACTCTTCCTGGCTTCTGGATCACATTCTAAGTAGACTTCTTTCTGACCGATGGGGTCATCTGGCCGATGGGGTCATCTGGCCGACGAGGGTCCCACTAGGTGGTCGTGGTACCTTCTGTTCTTCCAAGTATGTGGGTCCTGGGTCCAGGCCCATATACTCCATCAATATCATATACGGAGTATAAAGTATATTCATGACAACACATGCAATATAATGTTTTGTTTTATTGATCGAAACATTTGTAGTGGGAAAGCTTCATGTTAGATAATGTAACATAGTAACATACCACCCAAACTTTTATTCCTATTCATGTAGGCCAACTACACGAATCAATAAAAACTCTCTCAAGATCATCTACCAATATCTCAAGGGAGAGACTTAGATAGGGCACAGAAATAAAATCTAAATTATGAGTTTCTAGATCTAGATGATGCTATGTCCACATCATATAAGAAACAAACAAATTATATTATATTACACAAATTTAGTACCCCTTTTTATTCTTATACATATGACTATATTAATACTTAAAAAAACCACCGTTCTTTATCATCAGTTAAATGCAATGGGATGTTTGAAGATTTAATGATTGTTACTAATCTTCGTGTATTACAATTGTGACATGTTTTTCAAAAGTAAATTAAGATAGATAATATTATTGTACAATTATCCGTAGAATGCAAGTTAAGTTTGAACTGTTGGGTGTGTTTCGGAAAAACGAAGAAATATTAATTAATTAAATACGTACAATTATTGCAACGACCGTTTCCCAGGATACGGTGGCTAACGAACTAACGTTTGAGCACACAAACGAAAGTTCCGGCGAACTGGAACACAGTATGAACACTTAGGAAATTTCGGAGTAGCTGGAAGTGTTTTAGAGCTCAAAAATACGTGAGGAATGTATTGTGCGTTGAATTGTTGCAAACCACCTGCCAGCTATTTATAGGAGGATTTGTTGTGTGTTAAATGGGGTGTTAATGGACCTGAACGTTGGACATCAATGACCAGTCCGTTGGGCATTGAATCGTCCATAAACTGTCCATTTAACGCTTCATTAAAAGACAAGAACGTTGGACATTTAATGGCTGTAACGGCTTGGAGCAGTTCTGGTGCGCGACCAGAATACCCCCATCAGGCTTAGATCGTATCTTTGAATGAAAGATTTTTCGGACGACATTCGTGTCCGCAGGTCGCCCGCGCACACGAGTCGTGGTTTTTCTTCTCCGTTTCGGGATTTGATCGGCACCCCCTGTGCGTAAGAGAGAGCCTTTACCTTTAGGAATCTTAACTCCTTAAAAGAGGCTTCCCTTTATAAGGGGGTAAAAATCACTTGAGTTTTCCGGTGTGGTATAAAACACACTAGAAACCCATCATTTTCCCAGTTTTTCCATTTCAACGAGTGAACTTTGAGAATCAATTTCTCATTCACCCGTTATCCGTTTTGAGTGTACCACATATCGAATTGTAGCCCTTAACAAGGACAATCCGAAATCACTTTGACCCGACCCAAACCGGAAGTGGACCCCACTCAAATAATTGCCCCAAAATGACCATTTAATGCGATTTTTAACACATTTTTCCAACAATCCCCCACATGAATGAAAATTGATTTTCGAGACTTAAAAAGACACAAAGATAGGAGGACACGTTGTGTTCACCGGATGATCATTGCATACGGAGAGGTAGGTTTTATCTTTTGAACCTTCCGCGGTAAAGACACGTTTATTTACTGGCTGTCTAGTAGACTCGATGTCCTTGAACTATACTGCCGTCATGTAAACATTGACTTATCTTTACACAAGAACCTTCCAACTTTGTTCCGTTCTCATGGGTGTGCCTGTTTTGGCCATGGGTCACCGTCCTGGTTCTGCAAGAGTTTCTAAAGAACTGAGCCTTTACAGTTCTCCTTTGAAGCGGCCCTCTTCTCTCTCACATATGTGATTCTTTCACGAGTATCCCGCATACTCTTCCAATGTTATCGAGTAGATCAACATTTTAGAATCATTAAAGCAAAAGTTTTTGCTAACCTCGTGCGGGAGTCACTATTTTAAACGAGGATTGGGTAGGAGTCCGGGACCCCCACAGTGACCATCCTTCGATCTATAATTTAGTTGTCCCTTTTGAACCTAGGACCAACTAGGTTGGGTATCCACTATAGAATTTTTCAATTCACGGGCTTTAGTCCCATTCCTCGTGACAACTTCTCCAACAATTCTCTATCCAATGCCTTGGTTAGCGGATCCGCTATGTTATCCTTTGACTTCACGTAATCAACAGTATTAACACCCGTTGTGAGGAGTTGTTTAATGGTGTTATGACTACGATGAACGTGTCTAGACTTACCATTGTACATATTGCTTTGTACCCTTCCAATTGCCGCTTGACAATCGTAATGTATGCATATTGGAGGGACAAGCTTTTCCCAACTTGGAATATCCTCGAGAAAATGGCGTAACCATTCAGCCTCTTCAGTGCACTTATCCAAGGCTATTAGCTCAGACTCCATCGTGGATCTACCTATTAACGTTTGTCCTGAGGATTTCCATGACACAGCTGCACCTCCCAAAGTGAAAACATATCCACTTGTGGACTTGGAGTCTTTTATGTCGGATTTCCAACTAGTGTCGTTATACCCTTCAAGTACAGCTGGATATCTTCCATAGTACAGTCCAAGGTTTTGATTTTACGTAAATACCTCAAACTTGTATTATTGCCTTCCAGTGTTCATCACCGGGGTTGCTAGTGTATCTACTTAGCTTACTAACCACAAAGGCAATATCAGGTCTGGTACAACTCATTAGATACATCAAGCTTCCAATAATCCTAGCGTATTCTACTTGAGAAATACACTCTCCACGATTTTTGGTAAGTTGTACGTTTTTATCTAATGGAGTCCTTGCCTCTTGATAATCATCCTTATTAAATTTCGTAAGGATTTTATCAATGTAATGGGATTGGCTTAGCGTAACACCGTTTGGTCCCCTAATTATTTAAATCCCAAGGATTAAATCGGTCAGCCCCATATCCTTCATGTCAAATTTAGAATTTAACATGCTTTTGGTAGAATTAATCATTAGATTATTGCTACCCACGATGAGTATATCATCCACGTATAAACATAAAATGACATAACCGTCTACCGTGCTCTTCACATAGACGCATTTGTCACTTTCGTTTATTTTAAACCCATTAATTAACATTGCATGGTTGAACTTTTCTTGCCACTGTTTAGGGGCTCGTTTCAATTCATACAATGATTTAATTAATTTACACACTTTCCTTTCTTGGCCAGGAACACGAAAGCCTTCAGGTTGTTCCATATAGATTTCTTCGTGTATATCGCCATTTAGAAAAGCGGTTTTTACGTCTATTTGATGAACTTCCAATTTCTGCAATGCGGAAATTGCTAGTATCATCCTAATGGAATTTATTCTCGTCACAGGAGAATACATGTCAAAGTAATCATGGCCCTCACGTTGCTTGTATCCCTTGATTACAAGTCTGGCCTTGTACTTATCGATGGAACCGTCAGGTTTCATTTTTCATTTAAAAATCCACTTGGATCCCAAAGGTTTATTTACCGCAGGAAGGTCAACCAATTCCCACGTGTGATTTTGTAGGATAGAATCCACCTCACTTTTGATGGCTTCTTTCCACATAGGACCTTCGGTAGACGTCACGACTTCCGTATAAGTCCGTGGTTCATTTTCTACCAAACATGTTAGAAAATGCGGTTCATTTTCTACCATACATGTTAGAATATCCGAATCAAATTCTACCAAGTAGGTGAGAAAATCCGGTCCGAAGGATTTTTCAACTCTAGCACGTTTGTTACGTCTGGGTTCGGGTTCTTCTCCAGAGCCCTCGCTAGTATTTATCATAGCTACGTCAAATGTTCGTTTTGACGTGCTTGGTCCTTCGTTGGACTTGCATGGAAATACATCTTCAAAGAATGATGCATTCCTTTATTCAATTATTGTGTTTTATGTACATCCGAATTATTCGAATCGTACACTAAAAACCGATAAGCACTATTATTTTGTGCAAACCCAATAAAAATACAATCCACCGTTTTTGGACCTATTTTTATTTTCTTAGGTGTTGGTACAAGCACCTTTGCCAGACACCCCCACACTTTTAAATATTGATAGAAAGACCTTCTTCCTTTCCACAACTCGTAGGGAGTTTTATCATATTTTTTCCGGGGTACCTTATTTAAAAGGTAATTGCTTGACAAAACTGTTTCGCCCCACATATTTTGTGGTAGGCCAGAACTTACTAGCATCGCATTCATCATATCTTTCAATGTGCGATTCTTTCGTTCGGCAACACCGTTTGATTGAGGTGAATAGGGTGCGGTACGTTCATGTACTATACCCACGCTCGCGCAAAAGTCACCTATTGGTGCTTCATACTCACCACCTCGATCACTTCTAACCGTTTTAATCCGTCAATTAAGTTGGTTTTCCACTTCATTCTTATAAAGAATGAATTTATCGATTGCTTCGTGTTTATTTTTTAATAAATAAACATAGCTATAGCGAGTGCTATCATCGATAAAGGTAATAAAATACTTATTACCGCCACGTGTTTGTATTGATTTAAAATCACAAACGTCACTATGAATTAATTCAAGTGGTTCCATTTTTCTTTCAACCGATTTGAAAGACGTTTTCGTTAGTTTTGCCTCTACACAAACTTCACATTTGTGCTTCACATCAATTGTGAATTTAGGAATGTGCTCCATGTTAATTAATCTACGTATAGAATTAAAATTAACATGTCCTAGTCTACCATGCCACACATTAGAAGACTCAAGCAAGTAAGCAGAAGGGATTTTATTATTATTATTATTATTATTATTATTAATAGTCATTACATTGAGCTTAAACAGCCCATCACATGTATACCCCTTGCCCACATACATTCCCGACTTAGACAAAACTAGTTTGTCTGACTCAAAGACCATGCGGAAGCCATGCTTGTTCAACAACGAGCCGGAGATCAGGTTTTTGTGTATCTCCGGAACGAACAGCACTTGGTTGCGAGTCAGCTCCTTGCCCGAAGTCATCTTCAGGACCACTTTGCCCATGCCTTCAACCGCGGAATGAGTTGAGTTTCCCATCCACACCTTTTCACCATTTGATGGCTCAAAAGTAGTGAATAACTCCCGGTTTGAGCAAATATGCCGGGTAGCACCAGTGTCCATGAACCACTCATTGGAATTGGATCCAACGAGGTTGACCTCGGTCACCACAGCCGCAAGGATGATGTCTTCATCATTTTGCCCACCTTGCACCAAGTTGACTTGAGAGTCCCTCTTCTTCTTGGGTGCCTTGCAATCCGCAGACTTGTGTCCGTTTTTATCGCAATTAAAGCATTTTCCGTTGAACTTTGTCTTGGAAACGCCTCCCTTGGGATCGAGCTTGCTCTTCCCATTATTTTTATTTTTGGAGCCTTTTGCATGCTCCACCACGTTGGCCTTGGCGCTGTTAACGATTGGTAGTTTTCCATCGTTCTTCCGGTTATCCTCTTCAATCCGCAGACGGAGGATCAATTGCTCCAAGTTCATTTCCTTTCGCTTATGCTTAAGGTAGTTCTTGAAATCCTTCCAAGCCGGCGGCAATAAATGGATAATTGACGCCACTTGGAAAGGCTCATTAACTGTCATTCCTTCATTTCGAATTTCGTTGAAGATCATTTGCATTTCCTCAACTTGACTCAAGACCGTCTTCGAATCCACCATTTTAAAATCAAGGAATCGACCAACAACAAATTTCTTTGCGCCGACATCCTCGCTTTTATATTTGTGATCCAAAGCATTCCATAGCTTCTTAGCCGTAGCTAATTTGCTATAAACGTCGTACAAAGCATCATGCAGCCCGTTCAACACATAGTTTCAGCAAAAGAAGTCAGAATGCTTCCAAGCTTCAACCGCGTTGAAAGATTGCACATCCACCTCACCCCCGGTTGCTACCGGCGCATCTTCGGTCAAGAACCTAGCAAGACCGAGAGTAGTGAGGTAACCTAGCAAGACCAAGATCAAGGGGACGCCCGTCTAGACCCAATGACGGGAAACCAAGATATTGGCGGGAAGCGCATTTAATGCAATAGATTTGGTGGTTGGGAAGTTAGCCACTCACAATCCTCCACACCGTCAATATCACCTACCCCTTGGTAGTATAAATAGTAAAATTTATTTCATTGTAATGGGTTGTCAACTTATAATCACTAGCAATAGCAATTATTTCCCCCTCTTCTTAGCTCAGATAGACGATCGGCCTAGCGGACTTGTAGTAAAGTGCGTTGTGACGGACTCTTATTAATATTGAATAAGACACGACCCACTTACTAGATATCTATTCTTGTTTGCCATTTATTGCTTGTGCTTACTCATAACTTATAATCCACTAAATATTCCACTCGAAACCCAAAGGAAGGTGTTGGGCCTTTGGAGTTGAAGGAATAAACCTCAACAGAAGGTACATGTATGGAGGATTTAGAGAGTCGAAGCACAAGCGCGGAGGATGAGAACCCAAGAAAACCAAGAAACCATGCCGAAACAGAAGAATGAAGTGGATGAGAAGCAGTAAGATCCAAAAGTAAGATCCAAAAGTAACTGAATGCTCTCTGGCCGCATAAAGATCCCAAGTGAAGGTATGTGGCATCAGAAGAATTCGAAATGCGGAAGAGGAAGGATATGATGGAAATTAACGGCAAAACGGAAGTTAACTTTCCTTGCCCCATTTTTTCCCGCTGTGAGGCTGTACACACGGAAACAGAACCAACTTAACTCTCTTAGCCACATTATATAGATAGTAGATGTGTTGTTTGCCATTGTCTATCCTTAGTTATTATACTCAAACTCATTGGAATTCAACCTTTTCTTAACAAAAATGAAATACACGGAGTAAGTTTAATAATAGTTCAAAACCCTCCAAATGTTTAATTTTTAAGTTCCCCGAATTTGGAAGATTTTGGAGGATAATTAACAAAATGATAATTTAAGCTAAATTAGAAATGAATATCTCAAAGTGATTTTAATTATAATTCTTCAAAGATCCTCCCATTCTAACTTTATTACTCCCAAACACGTCAAAGAAACTTTCTCTTCCGGCCAAACTCCCAAACATACGCTTACATGAATAATTAAGGTGATTTGGGTATGATAGGGAGCGTGACTAGATTATAGGGAGGAGTATGGAACACTATTTTCCTTTGCTTTGTTTCTCCTACTCATCAGCTCAAAGAAAAATCAGCCCCGCCTTCTTTGTCAGCTGCAAGCCCTGCTAGGCCATTTCTATATTTTCTACGCAACACGGCAACACCCATTATCTGTTCTGTTTTCTGGTACACCTGCAGGAATTTCTAATCGTACATACACTTCAACTCCGTAGTTGAACCTTCCAATCTTACACGTCATTTGAATGTGCACTCAACCCATTCTTAATACGCACAGACGCAGATTTAGATACGTATTCACTCGTATTCATTGAGCAATTCCATTTGTCATCTGGGACAATTCGGGATAAGGATACGGCTATGGATAGTGGACGAGGGGGACATGACATTGAAGGCTCCGAGGACAATGCAGTTTTCTCGCCGGGATCTCTGGGGCGGAGCAAGTATCGTCCTGTGGTGGCGCACGACAATGATCGGGCCGTGCTTGAGATGTCGTCTATTGATCTTGGATCTTCCTCTTCTTCATATCCTCCTCACGATCTCAAGTACGGCGCTCTCTTTCATTTCTCTTTTGTATTAAGTAGTTATATATTTTATCTCTAGTATATGTCATTTCTAACCCCTAAAGTCTGAGACAACGGTTTATGTTTTTGAAGAATAACTGTAGGTAAGCTAGGGCGAGATTTGGAGAAGGGGTAATGTAAAAAACTGAAACTTGTGTACTGTGCATTAGCAGTCTGTTTGAGCTAAATAGTTGATCCAAATCAATGGATAATCATTTAGCATTTATTCCCTAGTATAGCAGTAATGGTATCTTCTTTAGCTGAGATTCTGTTGAGAAAACATAGTTTTAGATTCTGAGATGGGCTGCACTTACATAGTAGACTAATCAGTGGACCCTCTTTTACAATTGATGCTACAAGAACGTTGAATCAGCTTTGGTTGACTTCTAGATTTTAGTGGGAATCCTTGATTGGTCCATTTTGCACGTTCTTAAATGCAGATAGAAATGGGTTCTTAGCTCCTAATGGAGTCAGGAGTTTGTGATTGGAACCTTTGAGGGCGTTATTGACTGTTTAGCCTTTTATGATTATGATGCCTTGCCAAGTATTGAACAATATCCTTGGAACATATATGAGTTGAAGTATTGAAAGATATCCTTGTAAAAACACTCTCATGCGACCACTTTAAACTTCAATTTGTCAAGATTTTTTAAATGTCATCAATTGATTGTGAGTAAGAGGTCATTTATGCTTGCCCTTTTCTGTTTTTACCTTGAATGCATAGTGAGGCCTTTTCTTACCAGTACCATCTCAGCCATATTCCTTTTTAGAACTGTGTTGCCGATTTTGCATGATGTGTTATTTTCTTTTGATGCAACTGAGATTTTGAATCTGGATTATCAACATGTAGCCATTTAGGATACATTCGTAGCCATGTGTTCATATCTTGATAGTACAAGAAGGTCAGACTGCTTTGTATTTACCAAAAGTCTTACTGTAGGATCATATGATATTCAAGTGGAAGTATAAGCTTTAGACAGAATAGAAGTATAGATCACAAGATAGGTCATGCTGGTTGGTTTTCAAGAATTTTAGAACGCATACTAGCAATTTATTTCTTGGTAACGTTTCAAAAAATATAGATTTGTGTCTAAATGCTTTGGTGATTAACAAGAGTAGAGTCAGTTTTCTCATTAATGGTAGACATAATTGCAAGTACTGCAGGGGAAAAGATAAATACAACAAATTATCAGTCACACACATATAGGAATGTAAACAAGCAAGGCACGAAGGTTATTGTATTTTATATTTTTGAAGCAATAACCACTTCACTACATAAAGAGCCCCTTCCTTTACATTTAGCAATCTACCACTCTTCACTACAGATGGAAATGTGACAGGTTTAGGGTGGAGGCTCATTTTCCACCCCTCGCCATATGTCTAAAAAATGCCCCACCCCCACCCGCTCCATTACCTCCCCCCCCCCCACGCGCGCGCGGGTGCCGTGCGGATTTTTATCTTGTTTGCATATTATTTTAATTCAATAGATCTAAATATCATTACCATTAAAGTAGTTATTTTTTTAATAAGGGGCATGACTAAACTATTAGTTACCACCTCCAAATTATATGATTTTCTCATTTGAATAATTTTTTTCAAAATAATTAAAACAAAAGCACGAGAGAGTTTATTGTTCTATACAGTATAGTTAACTATATATATTTATATAACTAATTAATTATATATATATATATATGCAGGTTGTAAGTATTTAACTAACTAATGTGTCTATTTATATTGTTTGTAAGTATTATTACTATTACATTCAACAACAACAACATCCATGCCTTAGTCCCCAAAAGATCACTATTACATTATTACATTTAACTATTTAATTAGTTAGTTATATTGAGGATGTATTTACTTGCACTGGAATATTTTGGTCTGGTTTAGTAAATGTTCGGTCACTGTGTAATTTACAACTGTCGAGGTCTGGTGTAGTCTTGGACTGAAATAAGTCCAAGTAAAAACATCATCACACAAATGTATTTATCTATGCGGGGGTAGCATCCCCGTCACCCCCCCATGTTTAGGCAGGGCAAAATATCTCACCTACCAATCTCATCCCCATCACGCTCGCCCCCCATGGGGTGGGTGTCCGTGGCAAGGTTCGAAATTGCGTAATGCGTAGTCGTGACGTTCTTTTAAATATTGCATATTGCGTAAGCCTCATTGCGCAACGAGGCGTATGCCTGAGGCGTAATATATATATATATATATATATATATATATATATATATATATATATATATATATATATATATATATATATATATATAAACATAATAAAAAATAAACATGTTTGTCAAAAGTCATCAAATGTTATATTAAAACAAACCATAAGAGGCCATAGTCCTAGCAAAGTAATATGTTTAAACTTCAAAGTACCATAGAATACCAAAACTTTCTGAATCGTTTATAAAAAAAATCTAAGATATGAGAATTTAAATTAATTAGATTGATCGATTGAAAAAATCCAATCAATAACTAGTGGTTTGAAATAGGGATCATAACATCAATTATAAAAATTTAAAAGCGGGCCGGGTGGGCCCAAATAATACCTTTACACCCTGACCTTCTCCTATTGCGTACGTCTCAGAGCGCCTTATTGCGTATGCAATATTGCGTACGCCTCAGTGCAATATTGCGTACGCCACACTCCCAACGCCATATGCAATGCCTTTTACGCCATAGTTTAGGAATTAGCTGAGGCGCGCCATGAGGCGCAATTGAATTGCGCAATTATAAACATAAGTGTTGTGCTTTCAAGGAGTTGATGAAGCTTGAAACAGTAGATAAACAATTGAAGTTTCAATGCTTCAAGAGAAATGAAGAGAATTCAATTTTTGAGCAAGATGACTTATGGCTAGGCACTAGGCAGTGCTTAAAATAAATGTTCAAAATTCTAATACCTTGCATTTCTATTTTTGTGGTGGAGATTGGAGAAGTGTGGGACATTATTTTGAAACCAATTTGGAGCTTACCGAAAATAAACTTATCACCCAGTGTTTCCATTGTAACCCTATCCAGTAGCTCTTCAATTTCAATGTGTATCCTCTTCTTGATGCACGTGAAGAGTGTATTGGGATTAAAGAATTCCTTCAAACTCAGCGTACTAGCTACATTATTTGCTTACAGAAGAACCAACACATAAATGCTAATTGCTAACAGTTGTTAATAAGGAATACTGATGCTGGAAGAGTTTTCATATAAACTTTTGTCGAATGCAAAGTAAGGACATCTTCAGGGTGTTATTTATAAACGAATTTCAGGGGGTGTTTGGAACTGATTCTGCTTCTGCTTCTTTTGTAAAGCAGAAACAGAATCAGAATCAGTTTTCAGAAGCTGGTCACCCCCAGCTTCTAAAAAAACTGATTCTAGAAGTAAATTAGAGCACCAGAATCACTTCTGCACTTTCACCCAAACACTCCAACTTCTGCTTCTGCTCCCTGAAGGAGCAAAAGCAGTTTTAAGAATCATATCCAAACACCCCCTCGTATGCATTTTAGTAGATCACTAGATTGTTCTTTCCCCTCAAGCTTGTGGCTTTATGTACCAGACATCTCCTGATTTGCAGTTTCTAAATTTATGATCGAGTCATTCTGATAATTTGAATTTTTAAAGAAAAGCTATATTAACTTGTGATACAAATTTTCAGGAAAATTAAAGTGGGGGAGGAACCAAAGACGTCCTCCGATGGCAGAGACGGCTCTTTACCTAATCATGGGAATGTGACCGAGGCAGAGTCCAAATTAGAATTATTTGGCTTTGACTCTCTCGTCAATATTCTAGGTCTTAAGAGGTAAGAGATGAATTCGTTACCCTCTGTTTATAATTATTACTATTCTTATTCTTATTTTTATTTTTATTAATATTAATTTTATCATTCTTTTTATTATTAATATTATAGTAGTAATTATTATTATTGTCATTCTTCTTATTATTAATATTATTATCATCATAACTATTATTTTCTCCTTTCCTACCTTGCACCTACAATGTTTTTATCTAAAAAATGTGTTTTTTATTTTTAATTTCTGTCAGTTCAAAAGCTAATTCATTTTTCTACAGTTTTTTTGACGTTTTGTTATTGTACTTTAGAAAGTTTTTGGCTTTTCACAGTTATATATTAGGTGTGTATTTTTATTCTCGGATATTTGGATGATATACACAGCTTAATGAATTTTGTTCCTCTAGTATGATAGGGGATCAAATGCCAAGCCCATCACGTCTCCGTGATGGTGATGATGCAACTATCACTATTGGCCGCCAAAGGGTAAATGCTAGCATTGTGAATTATCTTCTATGATATTGATTTTTAATGAAGGGTTTTCTTTGCTTATATGGTGCTTCAATCACAGTTCTTCTGCCAGTTTTCCTTATCGGTCATATCTCTTTCCAGTCATTATCAATACTTTTTTATGGAATGGTTTGTACAATGTGATAGATCACAGGTAATATAACAGCAAACAATATAGATCGATGAGAAATATGGAGTAATGATCGAAGGTGTTTATTGATATCGAGCTAAACGCAATACGTATACAAAAGCTGGGACTGTTCGAGAAGCCTACTCTCCTAAGCCAAAATGCCAATTCAATCACAGCCTGCCTCATTAGTTAATTTTCCCAACTATTTATAGCCCATAACCCTCTTCCTTCTATTAAAATCACAGGCCCACTTATTAATATCTATAATAGGCCCACTTATTAATAATTCCTATCATTACTCCCCCCCCTAAACAACCACCTTGTCCTCAAGGTGGGTGATAGGAGTCAGCCTTGATTATCAACTTCATCTTCATCCGAGCCCCTCTCCCTACCCAGTACCACAAAGCATTCTGGATCTTGAGCTTCAGCACTTGGGCCATCCTCTTGACCTCTACCACCGCCAGAATGAGCAGGTGTACTGACACTGTTGGGTCCTTCCCAACCTCCTGTTTAGATTGCCAATGAAGAGAGCTATGGTTCCCGGTTATTTGCTGCATAATTTCACTATGAATGTTCAGTTCACCCCACCAATTTCTAGCAGCTGTGATTCCCTTCTCACTTCCTTGTTTTAAAGGTAGATCCACGAGGTGCCTTATCTGTGAGATAGCAATCACAACCGTCTGAAACGTAGAATCCAGTTCTATATCGAGTCCACCCAACTGATATACAAAATCAAACTCATTTGCCCAGCTCAATCCAGAACCTGATATTTCAGCAGCTGTTATCTTTGGTATGGAACCAGAATTCCTACCTTCAATGTAAAACTTCCACAGTTGGTAAGTTCCGAACCCAGTTCTCAAGATTTTCTTCCCCATCCTTCCTGCACTTTCCTTTACTATCACCCCCAACCTGGCATCAGATTGCGTGAACCTGGATTCTTCAATTGCAATATACTTTGGATCATCTTGCACCCCTGATTTTGCCAAAGCCCCCAGAAATATTACAGTGTTGTCAACCTCCAGAACTTTATCCTGACTTCCAGCACAAGCAACACTCTTTACCTGCACAGATTGCCCTTTATAAAACATACAATAACCATCACCAGTGTCCTGCACCACCTGCACCACCGGAGTCATGGTTTTCAGTGATATCTCCATGGAGCTCAAGTGTGGGTCCCCTTGAATCTGCTGATCTAACCCCTGAATCTTCCATTTTATACTTTGTTTCCGAAAGTTTATTTCCACATCACCCAAAGTAGTCAGCCACTCCATTCCCAAAATCAAGTCAGTTTCTTCCAAAGTCAGAAAGTAAAAGTTTTGTTTTATGATTGAACCCTGCATACATAAAGTCAAATCTTCACATCTTCCATCATTAGATAGCTTTTCTCCATTACCAACCTGCACTTTGTATCCTGAAATGGTTTTAAAAGGCAGCTCCAATTCATCCACCAGTTTCTTAGAAATGAAGTTGTGAGTGGCCCCACTATCAATCAGCACTTCCACTTGTTTTACCCCTCTATCCCACTTCATAATTCCTTTAATTTTGAAGGCTCTCATGGTAGGTATCCCCTCCTTACTCATGGGTGACAATTGCATGGATTTGGACTCCATTACAATTTCTTCTTCTGTAATTTCAGGATCTATCCTTTCAGATTCCTCCTCAGCATCTGAATCTTCTACAAGCATCATTTTATAATGCTTCAGTTTGCAGGTATGCTCTTTATTCCACTTCTCTCCACACTTAAAGCAAAGCCCCTTCCTACTTCTCTCTTGGTATTCATCATGTGATAGCTGAGGTCCAACCCTTTTTATCCCTGAAGAATGAATTTCAGTCTCCTTATTCCCTGCTGAGTTAAACCAAGTCTGGTTAGTTTTGTTCTGATTTTGAACCCCTGAACTACCAGCTCTTGTTCTGAAACCTTCTCCCCACCTGGGAGGTTTAGCATAAACTGACTCTTTATCCCTTCCACCCAATCTCTCATCCTCCTGTCTCTTAACAGATACTGCTTCATTCCTCTTCTCAACCAGTAAAGCCATATCAATTACTTCAGCTAGTGACCTGGATTGATGCAGTTTCAATTCGGCTTTGACTTTTGGCTTTAATCCAGCGAGAAATACCCCCCTTAGTATTTCTCGGTCAACATTCTTCTGTGGAGCAATGATCATCTCAAATTCATCCCTGTATGCTTCAACTGTTCCAGTCTGCTTCAAACTCAACATCGGTCCGTATGGATTCTGTAACAAGTCAGGTTGGAATCTACGAATAATAGATTCCTTAAGTGATTCCCAGTTCTTCTCCTCGGTCTGAAGTTCCCACCACTGGAACCAATTCAGAGCCCTGTCTTCCATAGCCACTACCGAGACTTCCAACTTATCCTCCTCAGCAATATAATTCAGTCTAAAGTACCTCTCCATCCTTACTAGCCAATTATAAGCCCCATCACCATTGAACAATGGTAAATCCACCTTACGACCCGTATGAACTGGGAATCTATTATACTCATCATGTCGTCTGTGAATAGCAGGGTTCGAATGAGCAGAGTTACCTCTTGAGACCGCTGGACTGGGCGATGGACGCGAGTGATGACTATGGTGAGATCGCGATCTCCCTCGGTGATGGTGGTCCTCGCTCATCGTGTCGATCCTTCCTGACATGTTCTGCATCATCGTTTCCATCCGCAACAGTGCTTCCTCCATGGTAGTTCGACTGCGTTCAACTGCTTCCAGACGTTGCTCCATTTTTCCTTTTGTTCGAACCATTCACGATCCGAACGATGAAATTGGGCAAATACGGTGATGTCGCTGCCAACGATCACCGCCCCACTGCTCTGATACCAATGATAGATCACAGGTAATATAACAGCAAACAATATAGATCGATGAGAAATATGGAGTAATGATCGAAGGTGTTTATTGATATCGAGCTAAACGCAATACGTATACAAAAGCTGGGACTGTTCGAGAAGCCTACTCTCCTAAGCCAAAATGCCAATTCAATCACAGCCTGCCTCATTAGTTAATTTTCCCAACTATTTATAGCCCATAACCCTCTTCCTTCTATTAAAATCACAGGCCCACTTATTAATATCTATAATAGGCCCACTTATTAATAATTCCTATCACAATGATAGGTAACGGAAGAATCCAAGTAGAAAGTAGTAGTATATTAATGAAGATTTAGTGAGGGAATACAGAAAGTATGAAAGAAAATGTTTGAGACTCTTCGAGTGGTCTCTCACTCCCAATATCCCAGTCCCGATCCCAAGTTCTGCCTTCCCATCTACTCACCACTCACCCTTATTTATTCTATTTCTAATGGGCCAGCCCACTTCTAATAAGTTATAGGGCCTCATCATTTTCATCATTTTCATTTACCCCAGTGCCGCAAAGGCTCCCACCTACGGTGGGGTAAGGGGGGGTCGGATGTAAGCAGCCTTACCCTTGTACTAAAGCACAGAGAGACTGTTTCCGGATGACCCATAGTGAAAATCGGGTCCAAAATTGCATGGACTGATTGCTGCTTCATAACAAAGAAACGCAGACAGTTCAATGAGCCATTTTGCTTTATTCCATCATAATCTCAAGCCAAAAAATAATGAATCTTTGGTTCCATTGCTCTAATAAGTTATAGGGCCTAAACCCTATTATTGAACAAAACTAAAATGACTTAATAAGGCTCTAATTATTGGTAGTGTTCAGGTCCCTAACATCCCTCCCCCCTTGAACTTCCACCTTGTCCTCAAGGTGGATGATAAGAGACTGATTTTGCATTAGGTTCCAGCAAGTTTTCAGCTTCATCCCGCTCATATAACTGATCTACTGTGCCCTTCTCTTCTTCTGGCTCTTCCATCAAGATAAATTGATAATGTTTCATTCCACAAACATGCTCTTTGCCCCATTTGTTTCCACATTTGAAGCATAAACCCTTCTTGCTTCTTTCTTCTAAGTTCGCTTGTGTCAACCTTTGGCCACCTTCCCATGCCTTATTCAGTTTTGGCGATTCCTCCAGTTTGTTCTCTGAAAGTGTTCTCTCCGGAGTTAAAGCAGGTGTTCTTCCCTTTGTTGCTTCTACCCAGTTCCAGGGTCTAACCATTTTTCCTCCCTGTTCCTTCCAGCCTGTGTTGTCTTCTTCTTTATTTTTTTTCCTGTCCACACCTTGTTCTTCTGCTCCAACAACAAAGCCTTGTCCATCAGTTCAGTTAACCCACTGGTCTGGTGCAACTTCAGTTCCGTGCTAATTTCTTTTTTAAGGTCATTGAGAAACACTCCTTTTAACATCCCTTGGTCAGCAAGTTTGAGAGGAGCTACAACCATTTCAAAATTATCCCGGTATTCCATTACAGAATCAGTTTGCCTAATACTGAGCATAGGACCAAACGGATTCTGCACTAAGGCAGGTTGAAAACGCCGGATCAAAGCATCTTTGAAGTTAACCCAAGAATGGTCATCAGCCTGTTCATCCCACCATTGGTACCAGTTCAGAGCTTTTCCGGCCATGGCTATCAAGATTATTTCTACTTTATCCTCTTCTGCCACATGGTTGAGTTTGAAATAGCGCTCAACCCTAATCAGCCATCCATAAGCATCGTCTCCACTAAAAAGTGGTAAATCGACCTTTCTTCCAGTATATAGACGGTCGCTGATTCTCTTCTGATAAGGGCTGCGTGAAACTGAGTGAGTTTCATGAGATTTACCTTCGGAACTAGAGGAGCTCACGCTTGCTGAAGTATGGCGATGACGGTTTGTGGTTGATCGTCCTCTTCTCTTATGGCGGTCACCCTGTAACATTATATTCTTCAATTCGGCCACGGTCTCGCGCAAGCCAAGCAGTTCATTCACGGCAGTTCTCACTTCCGCTAGGGTGTATTCCAGATTTTCCACACGTTGCTCCATTCTCGATCGGGTCAAGACCATGCGCAGGTAAGGCTATCGTCAATGGCTCTGATACCAATGATAGGTAACGGAAGAATCCAAGTAGAAAGTAGTAGTATATTAATGAAGATTTAGTGAGGGAATACAGAAAGTACGAAAGAAAATGTTTGACTCTTCGAGTGGTCTCTCACTCCCAATATCCCAGTCCCGATCCCAAGTTCTGCCTTCCCATCTACTCACCACTCACCCTTATTTATTCTATTTCTAATGGGCCAGCCCACTTCTAATAAGTTATAGGGCCTAAACCCTATTATTGAACAAAACTGCAATGACTTAATAAGGCTCTAATTGTTGGTAGTGTTCAGGTCCCTAACATACAATTACTGTGCCACTAAAATGTTATATTAATGATGGCATTAAGGCAAATGCGAGAGAAGACTTGACTCTAAATGAACTAGTAAGCATCCAACTGATCGAAGTTATTGCTTCAATTTGTGAGATTAGTTAGTTTTATATGGTTTGAAAAGGGAAAAACTATTGTGTTACAAATTGGTTCCAGTTTGTAATGCCACAGCACTGCTTCCATAAACTGTTGCTTTGTAATCAGAGTGAAGTTTAAGGTGTCATGCGTGGGTTTTTTAGTTACTTCATTCTACTTAGCGTCTGAAAATTTTATCAGTGCATTAGGCCAGCGCTTTGTAAATGTACCTTTTGACGTGCTGAAAGAGTTAAAAATAGTTTTTGTTTATTGCTTATTAATGAAAGAGAGTACAACGTCTGATTATAGTCATAATGAACAAATACAATGGGCAGAAAAATTATGCACTACAAACCATGTGCTTTACTACTCCTATGACTTATTCTATAATACGTAGTATAATTCAACAATTTATGTGTTCCATAAAAATTACCAGCTGTCAAATTAAATGATTTTCTCATTTGATAAAGCTTTTTTTAGACTAAAAACAAGAGAATGAGTACGTACAATATTATGTACAATATAATGAACTTTACGCATATATATTTATGTGGGTGGTAAGTATTATTACTATTAATGTATAAAAATAATTAGTTATACACACAAATGTGTTTGTGTTGTATGTTATGTGCGTTTATGCAGTAATCGGGTGGGGGTGCTGTGGAAGTAGCACCCCCGTCACCCGCCCCATATTTGGGACGGGAAGAAAAACTTATCCAATCCTGCTCCCACCCGTCCCATGTCCTCTTCATTCCTCCCCTGTGATTCCACCCACTGTCCTCCAAAGGCTGAAGAGTCTATAGTAATATAAGCATGTCATAACATTATATTCTGAAAGAGAAAGAAGGAAGGTGGAAATTTTATACTCCCTCTGTCCCATTTCAGTTGTCTTACTTCCCCTTTTGGGTTTTCCCAAAATGAATGTGCTGTTTCCTTTTTTGGCAAGAAATATGTGGCCCATCCGCCCATATCATTTCATTTTATTCTACTCAAATCTCAACAACAACTTTTACTTTTCAACCACTTCATTAATAATTGTGCCAAACTAAAACAAGACATCCAATATGGGGCAGAGGTATTTTTTATCTGCCTGATATCCGTATAGTTATCAATATCATCACACTGTTCATTTTATCTCTGATTTTAGTAGACTTGAATTTGCACTATGTAGTACATATAAATTGCTCACTGATTTGTGATTTTCGGGCACTGAGTCTTATCAGGAAATTTTACGTGTTTTTATGTCTTTAAATAATCAATGTAGAGTTGTCAGAATGTGTGGGTGTGTACTTTATGTAGGGCTGTTGTGTACCTCCTTCATACACTTTGATCTCAATTACTCATGCAGCCTGCTGCTGTGAAGTCGGGAACAATGATGGGAGTTTTTGTGCCATGCTTGCAAAACATTTTGGGAATCATCTACTATATAAGATTTTCCTGGCAAGTTTTTCACTTTCATTAGAGATAAATCTCCAGTTTTAAGTTGTATTGTAATTGTGATTTGTGAAAAGATTTTATAATATTTTTCTTTGTTTATGAGGTTGAATGCATGAGCTTGGAATTTGGAAATACATTTCTGTTACTAGTTGATGGTTACGTTGACCATTCATCGTATGATCATGTGGTATATTTTCTTATTCTTCCTGTGTGGCTTTTACTAACAGATAGTGTAAAAGAGAGCCGCAGAGGAAGAAAAGAAAAGAAAGCAAAGGTGTAAATGAAGGGGTTGATTGAAAAAATTAAGGAAAAGCAAGATGGGAAGGGTGGAAAAATTGAGTAGGACAAAAAAAATAGTTCAGTGCCTGTTTAACACGTGTTCCCCCCCCCCCCCTAAGCTTCATGATACATCTTATTCATTGTACACAAAAATAATCAATTTATTTTTTCATCCACCCTTAATATATGATAGATTTGCAGGATAGTTGGAATGGCCGGTATTGGGGAGTCATTGATGCTAGTGGCCTTCTGTGGTTCCTGTACTTTCCTCACTACAATATCACTCAGTGCTATTGCAACTAATGGTGCAATGAAGGTAAAATGGAACTTTCTAGTTTATTTGTCAAATATTTTTGGCTGAGCAGTAAAATCTTATTTTTTCAATTTTTTTCTTTGTATAGGGTGGTGGACCTTACTATCTTATTGGGCGAGCATTGGGCCCGGAGGTTGGTGTCAGTATTGGACTGTGTTTTTTCCTGGGGAACGCAATCTCTGGAGCAATGTGAGTATGCAATGTGATGCTATTTTCTCATTTAAGACTTTATGATAGAATATGGCATTGATCTTATCATTGTGCTTGCATAAATCAGGTATGTATTGGGAGCTGTAGAGACTTTCTTGAATGCTGTACCAGCGGCAGGAATTTTTAGAGGTATCGTATGTATGTGTACATATAGTGATGGACTCATGGAAGAGAAGTTCCGTATTGCCAAGGGATGAGGATTCTTTCATAATCTTTCCCTTTGAATAATTTCACAATATTGTAACACTATTTTTAGTTGGATCAAATCCTAGGTGTTGATAGTTTATACCACTGTTTTAGGCAGCCCGATATTGGTGCCCATATTAAGTATTCTGAGTGTCAGTGTGTCACTCAACATATCACTTCTTAAGAGGACCAACCCTTAAATTTTGTCTCTGTGTTTCTGGCTCAAAGTTTCACCTCTGTGTGCATATGTGCACATTCTTGAAGTCAACGGTGGTGGCATGCTATATTTTTATATGTAAATGCAATCTGATCATCTTTTTATTTCATGATGCAGAAACGGTCACGAGGGTTAATGGCACAGCGATTGCCGAGCCCATCACGAGACCTAGCTTGCACGACTTGCAGATTTATGGGGTTGTCGTGACTATTATTCTATGTTTCATAGTATTTGGGGGCGTCAAAATGATCAACCGTGTTGCACCAGCTTTCCTCGTTCCTGTTTTATTCTCATTATGCTGCATATTTCTTGGCATATTTTTGGCGAGGAAGGATCATCCATCAGGTTAACTTTGTTTGGACCATGGAACTTACCCTTTGAAGTTCCCAGTTCTTCAATATGATGTGCAACTGGGATACATGGCACTTGCACAAATAAAACATCTCTTATTTGAGCAAGGGGGTTTTTGGGTACGCGGTTCGGAAATGTGCTTTGTGTTTTAGAATGTTGTGTTTTCAAGATGTTTTTGGGTTTTAAAAGGTTGTAGTTTCAAAACAGATTAGCCAGCTGACCACTTTTTTCCTCTGATCTGGCCAAAATTGGAGTGCTCACCTCCTTCCTACCATCTAGACACTGCCTAGGCCACTTTTTAGAACACTGTATGGACTATGGGTGAATAAAAAAATTATCATTTAGCTATTAGGGAAAACGGCTTCTCTATATTCAGATTCTCTTCCTTGAACATTGAAATCAAGCACAAGGAAGGGTGATATTCAAGAAAGCCATTGTTATAAAGAGTTACAAATGAGTCTGTAATTCGATGATTACGTTGTTGGGAGTTATAGCTCTCTTCAGATTCTATATTTCTATTACCTGCCTGTAAATCAATTCCTCTACCTGTTCAGCACATTAGGCATAATTCAGAACAGAATAATTTAGGAAGTACAGATAACATGATAAGTGAACCAGGATCATACTGCTTAATAGAAATGAAGCAAGGTAGAAGCAGAAATGAAATCATCTTACTTAGAATCAGATATTACAGAGTATTTATACAGGAAGTAGTCATAGCTAACATAACCGAAGCCTAACAGAAAGCAGTTACATTGCTTTACAAAGAAATACACGTGTAGTTTTCCTACACTATTCCTAACATTCCCCCCTCAAACTGAGGGTGATTGAGTTGGAAATCAATCACACTGAGTTTGTTTCTGAACTCAAGAAAGGTGGAAGCAGATAGAGGCTTGGTCAACACATCTGCAATTTGCTGGGAGGCTGGAATGTGAAACACTTCAAGCTGTTTGAGTTGGACTCTCTCGTACAAAGAAAAGATCAATTTCCATGTGTTTTATACGAGTATGCAGAACATGATTGTGAGCTAGTTGCACTGTACTAAGGTTGTCACAGTAGATTTTGGGAAGAGTGAAAGGAGCTTGAAGTTCTTTGAGTAGGAATTGGACCCATAAAATTTCTGATGTATAGTATCTGCTAGGCTTCTATATTCAGCTTCTGCTGAAGATCTGGCTACCCTTAGTTGCTTTCTGGACCACCAAGAAATAATATTAGGGCCTAGAAAAATGCATGACCCAGATGTAGACTTCCTGTCTGTAGGATCTGATGCCCAATCAGCATCACAAAAAGCTGTGATAGGTAGAGGTGTTTTTGTCAAAGGAAGAGGTTTGATCAGTAATCCATGAGTGATGGTTCCAGAAAGATATCTCAGGATATGCTTCACAGCTTTCCAATGTTCTTGTAAGGGATTGGCCATAAACTGACACACTTTATTTACAGCATAGCTGAGTTCAGGTCTGGTTAAGGTAGCATACTGTAGGGTTCCAACAACAGATCTGTAATGAGAAGGATCAGGAAGAGAATCATTCCCTTCACTGGTAAGCTTACAGGTACTCACCATGGGTGTTTTCACACCCTTGGAATCAGCCATTCCAACTTTGTGAAGAAGATCTCTGATGTACTTGGTTTGGGAAAGATGCAAACAACCATTAGGTAATTTCCTGACTTGGATGCCCAGAAAGAAATCTATGTCCCCCAGATGTTTGAGAGAGAAAGAAGAATGTAAGGCTTGAATGATTTGTTGTATGACAGTGGAGTTATTGCCAATGACCAGAATATCATCAACATAGATTAGGATGTAGATTTGGATTCCAGTCTTGAGGTAGATAAGAAGAGAAGGATCACTTTTGCTTTGTTTGAAACCAGCATTATACAGAACTGAAGTGAGCTTGTGAAACCAAGCTCTTGGAGCTTGTTTTAGACCATATAAGGATTTATGGAGTCTGCAAACAAGGGAGGTGTCCTTAGTTTGAAAACCAGGGGGTTGAGACATGTAGACCTCCTCCTCAAGGTCCCCATTTAGGAAAGCATTGTTGATATCAAGTTGTTGTATAGACCATTGATGAGAGACAGCCAATGTGAGAAGAATTCTGATAGTGACAGGTTTAACTACTGGAGAAAAAGTTTCTCCAAAGTCAAAACCAAACCTTTGATGAAAACCTTTGGCAACTAACCTTGCTTTGAACTTATTCACAGAACCATCAGGATTTTCTTTGACTCTGAATACCCATTTGCAACCAATAACCTGCTTGCCTGGAGGAAAAGACACTAAAGTCCAAGTATTGTTAGCAATCAGGGCATTGTATTTAGATTTCATTGCTGCAAGCCAAGGTGGAGAAGAGAGAGCTTGCTTCACTGATTTAGGCTCTATATGAGCTAACAGTAAGGTGGGATTAAGTCTAGGTTTTACAATCCCAGATTTGGATCTGGTTTGCATGGGATGATTGTTGTGAGGAGGACTTGGAGGTGGAGGAGGATTAGAATCAGATGATGAGGAGTGAGAGTGGGCAGTGTTATCATTAAATGAATTAGAAGGAGTTGACTCAGATTGGGAGGATTGTTGATGAGGAATTTGATGATCAGTGTTAAACTGAGATGGAGTGGATGAAGATGTAGGAGTAGATGAAGGACTAGAAGAAGAATTTGAACTGTTGGAATTGGATGTAGGAGTGGCACCATTGTCAGAGTGGAATGAAGATGAATGAGAAGGAGAGTGAATTGCTATTGGGGCTGATAAGGAAACTGGGACACTTGGAGATAAACTGGATGGGGATTGAAAAAGAGTAGTGTAAGGAAATTTGGTTTCATCAAATATAACATCCCTGGAAAGATAAATTCTGCCACAGGGAGAGAGACATTTATAGCCTTTGTGATGAGAAGAGTATCCCAGAAAAACACATTCCTTGGAATGGTAATCCATTTTATGTTTATTGTAAGGCCTAATGAAAGGATAGCAGGAGCAACCAAAAACTTTGAGAAAGGTATACTCAGGAATAGTACCATAAAGTTTGAAATGTGGGCTGAGATTTGCAATAGATTTTGATGGAAGTTTGTTGATAAGATGTACAACAGTGGCAAAGGCAGTGTCCCAAAATTTGAAAGGCAAAGAAGAATGTGCAAGGAGACATAGACCTTTCTCAACAATGGTGTGATGTTTCCTTTCAACAACACCATTTTGATGGTGTGTATGAGGACAGATAACTCTATGATTAATACCTTTTTCAGTGAGAAACTTTGTGAATGATCTGAATTCTCCTCCCCAATCAGATTGGATTGACTTAATGGAGATGTTAAACTGATTTAGGATGTATTGATGGAAGTTTTGAAAGGCTAAGAATGCATCTGATTTCTTTTTGAGAAAGTAGATCCAGGTATATTTGGTGAATGCATCAATGAAGGATATATAGTAAGTGTAGCCATCAAAGGACTGAATAGGAGCTGGCCCCCATAAGTCAGTATAAATCAGTTCAAAAGGAGAATGAAAAACAGTTGTAGATGGGTAAGAGGGTAGTCTGTGAGCTTTACCCAAACAACATGCAGAACAAAAGTCAATAGCATTTTTATTGATATATGGAATATTACATAGATTCAGTACAGACTTAAGGGCCTCAAAATGAGGATGACCTAGCCTTAAATGCCAAATATTACAACTGGAGGTTGACTGAGAGTTATTACAAGTAGATACAAGAGAACTAGGGAACACAGATGTATGGGGATAAAACTTGGACAGATTTGAAGTAGAGTTGTGAGACCCAAAAGCTGGAAAGGATTGAAACTTGTAAAGACCATCTTCACCAAGTATTCCATACAGCAGAACCTGTTTAGAAACCTGGGATTTAACAAAACATTCATGAGGATGAAATTCAAAAAATGCATTGTTATCCTTGGCAAATTGGCTGACACTTAATAGATTTTTGGTAATAGCAGGAACATGTAAGATGTTGTTGAGAGATAAAGAAAGAGATGATTGATAAGGTGAGGGAAAGGATGAAAAACCAATAGACTTAATTTCCAAACCTTGACCATTGCCCATAAACAGCTTATCAGTGGTAGCAATTGGCTCACTGTGTTGGAGATTGAGGGGATCAGCAGTAACATGGTGTGTAGCTCCAGAGTCTGGGAACCAGTTCTGAGAATTTGGGGGTGGTCCTAGTATAGAAGAGTTTGCACAAGCCCAGGCTGCAATTGGCACAGTAGGGGATGAATTGAGTTGTGAGAGATGATTACCTTGCTATGGATAGGGATAAGGTGGTTGGTTGGGTGAGTATCTTGCTATATTTGGAGGAAGCAGTTGGTATTGATTTGAGTAGAGATGTGAAGGTGGTTGTTGGTATTGATTTGGTTCGTATTGAGGCTGGTGAAATTGATTTGAGTGAGAATATGAAGATGGAGGTTGTTGCATAGGACGAGAAAACTGTTGTTGCATAGGAAAAGGATTGGTAATGGTATAGGCTGGATTGTATCTGTGGTAACAAACGAGTGCACTGTGACCATTTTTCCCACAAACTTGACAAGTAACTGAGCTTCTACCACCTGAACGACCACCTCTGCCCCTATTGAAACCTCCACGACCTCTACCTCTGTAGGAGGAGTTGATATTAGAGGTGTCAAACTGAGCAGAAGTATCAAACTGAGCAACTTGAGCTGAAGCATTTTCTGAATTGTCCTGAGCTTCGGTTTCAGTATTTTGAGAGGAAGATTCAAGTCGAGCAACATTAGCAGCAAATATTGTTTGTTGCGAGGACTCACGAAGTTTCTTCAGTCGCAATTCTTTTGCTAGCAGAAGACCTTCAAGTTCGGATAAGGTAACAGGATCTAAGATACTTCGCGAGGACACAGATGATATAAGTGACTCATAATCCTCAGGAAGACCTTCAAGGATGTGATCCTTGGTTGATATAGGCTCACCGACAGATGTTAGGTTATCAACAATTGTTTGAATACGAAGCAAGTATTCAGAAATAGAACGATCACCTTTCCCGGTGTTATACAGTTCCGATTTCAGTTGACGAGCTCGCACGATGATACTGGAGCGGAAGAAATTGTGAATTTCACTCCATAGCTCATGCGAATGCTTGCAGCAGATGACGCGAGCATGAAGTGATTCTGAAAGCGAAGCTAAGAGCCACGAAAACAACATTTGATCTTGTTGCTCCCAGGTGTTGTATGCTTCGTTAGCTGTTTTCGCTCCATTTTCATCAACTGAAAAACGATTTGGTATCTGAGGACTTTCTATGAATTTGAGAAGTTTATGAGCTCGGATCACTGATTCAACATGATGGCGCCAAAACAGAAAATTGTTTGAATCGAGTTTAATAGGTAGAGGATGATGAAAATAATAGGCGAAGATTGATTAGCAATGTGAGAAGATGATTGCGAAGAAGAAGAAGAATCAGACGCAGAGTTCGTCATGGTTAGATCGAGCAATGCTCTGATACCATAATAGAAATGAAGCAAGGTAGAAGCAGAAATGAAATCATCTTACCTAGAATCAGATATTACAGAGTATTTATACAGGAAGTAGTCATAGCTAACATAACCGAAGCCTAACAGAAAGCAGTTACATTGCTTTACAAAGAAATACACGTGTAGTTTTCCTACACTATTCCTAACACTGCTGTATAGTGAGTGTTGAGTAAAACTTGTAGTGATTGGATTTCATTATGTAATAGTTGTCTCAAAAAATGAGTTTGTATAAGCTTTGCATAAGGAATGTGGGAGGGGGGCAATGTTGCTGAGATTTCACAGTAGTGCTATGTGTTTCTAAAAAAGAGCTTGTGTTCCAACTGTGTAATGACTAGAGATTAAGTTTTGAAATCAAATTAGTTTTGTAGGTTATGGTAAAGAATCATTGTATTATTTGATCCATGGAGCTAGACTGCTAGAGTTCATGCCTAAATGATCCTGAACTGCCAATGTATGAGTTATTCATGAGTTTGCCAATTGTATAATTTAAAGTATTAGCAAAACCGTGAATCTCGGAGAAGCAACTATTTCCGATAGTGATTCAGCCATTCAGGATCTTAAAAGGTTGGTGGCCAAGCCCGTTTCCCATTGATGTGGAAAATATATGCACTATGTTTAAATTGTCTTACTAATTCAAACTGTCCTTGCATATGCTTGTGCTCCCTTTGTTTTCATTTTCCCTGTTGCACAGTATCCTTCACTTACAAGAATATGTGTTTGTGCCTCTGTGTGACTTTTTCTGTTGTGCTGCAGCGGGAATCACAGGACTGAGTTTGGAATCTTTCAGAGACAACTGGAGTTCGGATTATCAGATGACTAATAATGCTGGAATTCCAGATCCTAACGGGAAGATATACTGGAGTTTCAAGTAAGGCATGCAACTACATCTTTTTCCTCAGACCCATCGTGGTCTCTTATCATTCAATCAACATTCAACATTATCAGGATGCTAGGTCTAGAACTTATGATATGCTCTCTAGTCTCTCCATCCCAAATCATAATAATTGATTAAATTAGTAAAACATCTGTTGAGCTTATTTGCCAGATATTTTCCAAACTCTCTTCACTTAGGTCCTATTCTGGAGTTGGTTAACTAAGTTCGCCATGGTTTTGTGCAATTTTTCCTGCAGTCTATTGATTAGTGGGATTTAGATCAGCAGTGCATTTTGTTGATTAGTTATTTGTGAATAACTATGAACCTTGTTGGCTGTGAAACAAGGTGGTGATAAGAGGTCTAGATAGTCCCCCTTTCCCCTCTTTTTATCCGTTAACATCATCATTGCCAGTTGATGCCTTACCGTTTTCTTTCTTTTGTAAAAAAGAATTTATGTTTTTGAGTATAGTATATTTTGCATCCAGTTTGAAGTATATAACCCTTGCTATACAAATAGGTAGCAGTGCGTAAATCTTGTGAAATAGCTTCAACTGAATGTCTCAATAGTATTCTGTTCCCGCAGTCATTGTGATTAGTACCCTCTTATTGTGCAGATCAAGCATTCCGATGCTTTGATACCCTTTGTTAAGAACTCTTATCTTTGGTGAAACAATGATGAAGATTGTCGGTTATTGCCTTTAGTATTAATGTCGTGCTATTATAATCTAATGTTCATCAGTCCACAGTGCATTGGTAGGTCTGTTTTTTCCAGCTGTGACAGGCATCATGGCAGGCTCTAATCGTTCAGCCTCACTGAAAGACACCCAGCGTTCTATTCCCATCGGAACCTTAGCAGCCACTGTGGCAACCACCAGCCTATATATTTTTACTGTGTTTTTCTTTGGATCTGTGGCAACTAGAGAAAAGCTTTTGACTGACAGGTACACTGAACTCCTAACCTACATGTGTAATACAATTAAAAAACTATCTCTGTAGTTTTTTTATTGCTCTCTTTTTGGAGGTGTTTTTTCCAACATAATTTCCCTTTGACCACTGATAAGTGATATTTCTTTCTGCGAAGAGTGAAAGGTTTAATTGTACTGATTGAAGTTTTGAGGATACAAATTCCCTATATTTGTACCGTAGCACACATAATCTCGTTAGTGTGAATCATATACACACTTGGGTTGAGCGCAGATTATCAGTGTCAGGTTCAAGTGTTTAACAACTTAAATTGTCACCTCCTCAAGGTAGGTCTATGAATATACATTATGTGTGCCAAACATGTTACAGATGTAGACTCACTTAGGACTAGGATACTTGGTGCAAATATCAGCTAATTGATTATCAAAAATAACAATCGTGCAAGGCTGCATCCAGAGTCTAGACATAACCTTTGCTCTAACAAAATGTCATTCAAGATGAATCATGAATGTGCTCGTACTCCCATGAAAACACAAGGTTCAAGACTATGTGGAGAGTCACCATAATGTGCCCCAGCATTTACCTGACCGATTTTGGTGGTTTGCCTTCCCGGACTAAAAAAAGTCACCATAATATTACATACAGTTATGCCAATGCCATTATGAAATGGTTCCATGTCGTAATGCGAAAAATAAATGTTTTAAGCCATATGAGCTAAAATGTGACTAGTGCCATAGCACAATACATGCAAGTATGTTACTCACTATTCTAAGAGATTGAGTTACCCCTGTGAAGGCAGTAAAAGACAATAAGCAAAGGTGGAATATCTGTCAACATGAGATCTTTGAAACTTTTCCAATTAACTTGCAAATAGAACCCCTAGTGTGGGCACCTTCTTAATCTACCACAAGACTCAGATTGCAGAGTCGTGGTGATCATCACATGGAGTATCTAAATGGTTTGCCTATCTAATCAGATGATCGCGAGACAATGTGCCTCTTCTCATGAGTCTCCTGAGCGTGACAAACCCTGTATTTTTTAAATTGCAATGAACAGTCAATTTTAATCAATTTCACTAACTACATAACTGCATCAACCACATAATATTGCTAAAAGCGCTTGCTTCAGCATTTAAGAGCAAAGCACACGTGAGCGACGCGCTTAGCTTCACATCAGGGTTGAAGCAGTTCGCTCCCAGAATCACAGTGGATACGAAGTTAACGCCTTAACGGTTAACATCATTTGCAAGACACTTCCAATGGAGAAGACTTCACCAAAAATCGATGGCACTGCTTCACAATTCACATTTTCTCTTTGCAAGACTTTCAAGTATACACATTGCTTGTTCTTCTACCACTTCTTGGACTTCTACTATGATGCATAGTTAGGGTGTGGTGTAGTGTCATCGTGTCGATCTGCACTACTTCATATTGCCGATTGATCATCAATCCTTTTTTTGTCAATCTGTTCAAGCTCAGAATCTGACCCCATACTCGGAAGTTATAAGTCACTGATGAGAAATCAACGCGACCCCTTGAAGACCCACAATACTGCGAACCCGACTTCAATAGCGGTCAATGTACATAATTTCTTTAGTTATACGTGTTTTTAGTGAACTCTTAAGCTTTCAGTTTTAATCATCAGATTTTGTTTAGTACTACTTTACTAAAATAAATTGAGAAGTCATTGGGGGCATGTGCCCCCATTTAATAATCAGATTTCATTCCATATTTCCAATAACTAATTACTCCCTCCGTCCCTTAAAGATTTGCCAAGTTTGACCGGCATGAGGATTAATAAAGTAAAAAGTGTGTGGTTGAGGTTTCCGCAGAGGAGAGAGCAGAGAGAATTAACTAGAACCACAAATTCTTTACTTAAAAGGGAAAGTGGCAAAGTTAGCAGGACAACCAAAAAAGGAAAGTTGACAAAGTTTTAAGGGACGGAGGGAATATTACATTACAGCTGAGCATAGTTCTTATTCATTTTTAATTTTTCAAAATTATTTTTGTGGGCACATGGATCATCATTGTATAATTGGAACTGATATTTTTAACACTTAACAGTGATATCCTCGACACCCCACTGAGTAGATGTTGTATAATTGGATCTGATGTTTTGGTTTAACCGGTGAATGTATTTATTAATATATTGATGGGAATCATGGGATATAATATAACTCAGTTGACAATTGGCATGTACGAAGATGTTTCACTCATCAATTTTGTATTTCTATACATGGATGGAGTTTCGATCACAGGTCTCATTTGTCCAGGATACTCGGACATGCCACTCACCCATGAGATCATTGAGTGGCCTGTGTATACTATATGCCTGCAGTTGTACTAGCGACACAAGCATAAGTAACGCAGCAGTCTCAGAAGCCTGTAACGTATTAAAAGATCTGACTTGTTTTTTATTTTAGGAATTAATTTAAAACAGAATATAAATTTTGAATTTAAAAATTAACCTTTGCCGTTCCATGTTGCATTTTGTATTTAAAAGTGTTGCTTTCTGTTGTGCTTTAAAGTGAAGCCATGCTACTCCGCTTCATTATAATGACTTGAAATCTGGTGCAGGTTATTGACAGCTACAGTTGCTTGGCCTTTCCCAGCCGTTGTTTATGCTGGAATCATTCTTTCCACCTTGGGTGCAGCTCTTCAGAGTTTAACTGGTGCTCCACGGCTTCTTGCAGCTATAGCTAATGATGACATTCTCCCCGTCCTTAATTACTTCAGGGTGGCAGATGGGGGAGAGCCTAATGCTGCCACACTCTTTACTGCCTTCATTTGCATTGGATGTGTCGTTATTGGGAATCTAGATCTTATCTCTCCCACGACAACAATGTTTTATCTTCTATGCTATGGTGGTGTGAACTTATCCTGCTTTCTTCTGGATCTTTTGGATGCTCCTAGCTGGCGTCCAAGGTGGAAATTTCATCACTGGAGCCTTTCTCTTGTTGGAGCATTGCTTTGCATAGGTTTGTTTCTTCTTCTGTTATAGGTTAATTGGATTAATGAGCTTACTTTTGCTAATTGTGCACCTGTAATGCCTCATTCAAGTTGCATTATTGTTACAACTCCGTCCCCTACTTGCCTTCTTATTTACCCTCATTCTTTTTTGTTGTTCCTATATGATCCACCATTTCCTTTTAAGGAAATAATTGTGTGTTTGATAAAAGAAATTGCCCTAAATAGGAGTAAAAATGTTTGTGAATTCCAAAATATGACTACATTTTTATTCCCAAAATGGAGTAATTAGTGCTATTTTTTGGCATTACCATGCTTTAAACACGTGTACACGACTGTATTTTTCAATTTTGGCAGTAATTACTCCTATTTAGGGAATAAAAATATAATACTCCTATTTTGGAAGCCCAAAATGTTTTTACTCTTATTTGGCGAATTTTTCTGTTCGATATTGATTCTTCCCTTTCTAAGTAAATCTCAACCACACAATCTCATTTTCTTTCTTAAACTCCGTGTAAAGTCAGTGGGATACATAAAAAGAGAGACAGAGGGAGTATTGCTCTTTTAATGTCCGGGTTTATGAAAAAGTGAAGCTGGAGAGATCTACATAATCCCTCTGGCATGCATTATGCTGCAAGTTCTGTGGACTATATAGGGTTCTTCTCTTCTAACTATAGAACAATTGAGAGAGTAGGCATGTGCTCTGCTTCGTAAAAATTGTTATTATGGATAATAGATGATTTTTATCCTTCATTTCTTTATGGTAGATGGTGTTTTTCACCTGAAATCAACTTAATTGAAGATAATGTGTGTTTTAGACCAACTTAGACCAGGTGTTTTGCCGGTTCATATCTTTCTTCGTGCATGCACGGACACGTATTCTCCAAATTAGCCCTTGTAATCATGTCATTTGTGGTCTGTGCTTATCCAGGGTTTTCGAAGTGTGTTTGTCAGTTAATGTTGTTATTATGGAATAAATATGTATTTCTATTGTGGACTAGTCATTTCTTTAGAGTGGTGGGTGTGTTTTTGACCTGAAATGTAGGTTTAGATCCAACGTGGACTAGATAGATGTTATTCGCATATCTTGTTTCTGCAGACATACATGTGTAGACTCACTCTGTCTACATTAAGCCTTTTAATTATGTCATTTTTATTCCTATTTATCCATGCATTTTAAAGTTTATTTAGTCCTTGAACCTATGCAGTCATTATGTTTTTGATATCTTGGATGTTCACTGTGGTGGCGTTGGCCTTGGCTACTCTCATCTATTACTATGTCTGCCTCAAAGGAAAAGCTGGAGACTGGGGCGATGGCTTTAAGAGTGCATATTTTCAGCTTGCATTACGTAGCCTACGCTCTCTGGGAGGTACAGATGCTTACACTGAAGAGTACTTCCACATTTATTTTATACTTTTATTATTTTTTGGCTTTTCTCTCCCATGCATGTTTCTCGTACTGGATGTCATTGACAAAACACTGTCATACATATTGAGTAAATGATGCAACCTTCACTGTGCAGATGAAAATCAGAAGTTTATATATATATCTCTCTTGTGTAGGGGAAATCTTCCCATCATGTCTTCTGATGATTGCGGTCAGGAAGGCTAAATACCACCCCTGTATTACGTTAAACATCTTAGATGCATTCTACATATGTTGTAGTGTAATATGGGTTGTTTTTGCATGTCAAAGGATAGTACACTAACATATGAGATTGTACTTTTATTTATGCAGCAACTCAAGTACACCCAAAAAACTGGTATCCTATACCCCTAGTATTTTGTCGGCCATGGGGCAAGCTGCCAGAGAATGTACCTTGCCATCCTAAACTTGCTGACTTTGCCAACTGCATGAAGAAAAAAGGAAGAGGAATGACCATCTTTTTTTCCATAATGGATGGAGATTACCATGAATGCGCCGAGGATGCCAAGGCAGCTTGTAAGCAGCTAAGTGCTTACATCGACTACAAGAATTGTGAGGGTGTAGCTGAAATCGTTGTTGCCCCTAACATGACTGAAGGGTTCAGAGGCATAGTCCAGACGATGGGCCTGGGAAATCTCAAGCCCAATATAATCGTCATGCGATACCCCGAAATTTGGCGACGTGAAAACTTAACCGAAATTCCCGCCACCTTTACTGGGATAATAAATGACTGCATTGTAGCAAACAAAGCTGTTGTTATTGTCAAGGGACTGGATGAGTGGCCTAACGAGTATCAAAGACAGTTTGGGACGATTGATTTGTATTGGATTGTGAGAGATGGTGGGCTTATGCTCCTTCTTTCTCAGCTACTCCTAACCAAAGAGAGCTTTGAGGGTTGTAAGATTCAGGTTTTCTGCATAGCCGAGGAGGACTCTGATGCCGAGGAACTCAAGGCCGACGTGAAGAAATTCCTTTACGATCTACGCATGCAGGCTGAGGTCATCATCATCTCGATGAAGTCATGGGAGGAGCAGCAGCAAGAATCGGTGGAGGCGTTTAGCAGTGCACAGGAAAGAATCGCTAACTACTTGGCAGAGATGAAGGAAAAGACCCAGGGACGGGGCCCAGGGGGGAATCATTTCATGGCTGATGGGAAGAGTGTGGTTGTGAATGAACACCAGGTGGAGAAGTTCTTACACACGACATTGAAGCTCAACTCAATGATACTGAAATATTCCAGAATGGCTGCGGTTGTGCTTGTGAGTTTACCGCCCCCACCTCTCAACCATCCTTCTTACTTTTACATGGAATATATGGACCTCTTGGTGGAGAATGTCCCTAGGTTGTTGATTGTGCGGGGATACCGTAGAGATGTTGTCACATTGTTTTCTTAGTTTCTCATAGATTTGTTATGTGTTCCCTAATTACCCAAAAAAAGAGGGGGTGTACACAGTGCTGGATCTCATACGCAATTGGAGGGTGGTTGTGGTATTTAGGCCTCATTTCTCATGTTTTTGCAAGGAGGTGGGTTAGAACCCTGAACCTCCATGACACAAGGGGAAAGTCTTCAGAAGTTGCCCGCCCTGATTACAAACAAACAAACATTCATTTTATGCTTCCTTAGTACATCCCTTTTATTTCAACTGTGTAGTTTCAGATTTTCATTGCTTTTCTCTTACCTCTTTGGGGATGTAACAATTTCTCCTATATAGAATTCATTCTTTTTAGCGCCAGAGTAGATGCATATCTTGGTTCATTTATTGTCTTTTGAGTAATGACTTGGTGGACACTGGACAGTGGACTTGGTGTACGGAAAATACAGGATATGAGGTGAAATCAACCTCATGAGCCTAATGAATTCATTAAGCCCCCCCCCCCCCCCCCCCCCACGGCCCCACCCCCCCAAAAAAACAAACGATGTATTTTCTTTCAATCTGGGAACTCTGATTTCGTGCACACTGGACTAATTCAACATCGTTATGATTCAAACATCACATTTAATAAATCAGAATTTAATATGTAGGGGAAGGTTCCGGTGAGAATGGTCTTTTAGGAGAGAAATGAGAATGAAATCTATCCATCAAATATATTAAACTAAAGGCTATGATTGAATGCAAATTGGTTGTCGTATCATGGTAATTATGTTGATCTTTGAATGGCTATCATTATCATAATAGGAACGATTTTGGCATTAAGGATATAATTGTAAAAGTCACAATCACTTAATATGGATAGTCAACAACCGTAGCTCAATTTTCCATATGTATAGGTTCTCATCATTAAATGCAATATGGGCAACCTATTAGTCCGGATAATTCTTTTCCTTTAATAGTTGATTTATTTTGGTTGTTATTTTAAATAATAAATACAATCAAGAAATTTAATTAAATCTGCCTGAGTGCACCATTGCCCATATTCATTTGCACTTTGTAATTGTGAAGATTGCACCTAGTGTTTTCAAATAATAATCCACTTCAGTGTTATTACTAATTTTTTTATGTTAGTAATCTCTCACGTTAATTTTATAAAAAACTTTATTTGAATTGTGCATTTTTCATGTTTAATCATGTTTCCTGATATAATATATCATCCACCTAGTTTTGTATTTTTGCACTCCAACGTTGAATAAGTGCACTTTTATTCCAAATATAATGCAACATCAATTTAATTAAATATTTAGACTAGATGCACTTTTCTATTATATAACATATACATTTTGCATAAAATGCAACGTCGTTATATAAAAGGTGCTAATTGAAATAAAAAATTCAACACCATTGTTTATTTTTCAGGATGATTATATAAAAAGTGAATTTCTTTGATTTTTAATAATTTCTCAAAAATGATAACGTATAAATGTACCCATTTTCAACTAGAATTTTTCATGCTCTTTTGATTAGAATATACTGCACTTTTTTGAACGACACTTTTCATTGAATTGATTTGCACCTTTCTCGTGCATTTGTGCACTTTTGAACATTATATATGCAATTCGCATGTGCACCATGTAAAACATAAAGTTGCACTATAAAAATCGGTTTGTGCACCTGAGCATATAAAGCGTGGATTTATTTGATTTTTAATACTACGTAGTTTATTAAAAATGCATAACGTATAAATATAACAAATTCTCAACTAGCATCTCTCATGCACTTTTTATTAGAATATCTTGCACTTTTTTGAAGAGCATTTTTCATTGAATCGCTTTGCACCTTTCTCATGCATTGGTGCACTTTTGAACATTATTTATGTAATTCACTTGTGCACCATGTAAAACATAAAGTTGCACTATAAATTTGAGGCCGCAAATGATCAAATTCAAATCATGCAATATCCTACTAATCATGTAAATTTTTAATAAGTGAAATAAAGATGTAAAAAATGATAACATGTAAATTAAAAATGCACAATTATATAATATGTTACCAAATAATGTTTATTGGGATACTACAATTTCAAGATTGGTAATAAATTAACGAGCACAAAGAAAAATAAAAAATTGTTTAAGCTACTCACTACATAAAAGAAAACAATCGGAGTGTAAAATAAAAAAAGAATCCTCACCTAAAAGTGAAACAAATTTAAGGTCATAACTCATAAAAATGATAAAGACATAAGGGCATCCTCATTGGGAGGATTATTACGAGATTAAATATGTGACATGACAGTTTTTTTAGAGAATTATCAATGAGTGACATAGATTATTTAATAGGATTATTTGCAACAATAATCTGGGATCAAAATATGAATCCGGATTATTTTAAGATTATTTGAAAAGTATATGTAATAGAGATAAATGCAGGACAGAGAAAAAACAAATTATTTGAAGATGATGATTGAGAGACATAAACGAATTTTGAGATTATTTTATAATTAATTACATAACAATATTTAAATGGTAAGAATCATATAAAAAATTGATTATTAGAGATCATGAATGGAGATGCTCTAATAAATAATCAAATAAATTCAAAAGGAAGGAATCAAATCGTAGTGGCTAAAATTTTGGAAGGTAATAAATACGTATATGAAATGGCATAATAGCCCCTTCGGCAGATTAGTAACATGGTAGAATTAGGAGATGATCTAATGGTCTACACACACACACACACACACACACACACACATATATATATATATATATATATATATATATATATATATACATAGTGTGTGTGTGTATATATATATATATGAGCTATTCCTATTTTCAAAATATTATAAAATTATTAGTAATATAATTGAAATTCAAAGTAAATAAAAAGAAATAAAACAAAAACTGATGGAAAAATACCTAGGCGCCCTAGTCGGCGTCTAGGCTGGCTAGGCTCTAGGCGGCCAGTCACCTCCCGACTAGCGCCTAGCGCCTTTTAGAACATTGGATGCAGGTGATGAAGTATGCTTGATGAAGAGAACCTCGTTAGATCACCTAGACTAGTTACTAGTTGCGTTATTAAATTCAGAATTTGAGGACTTGTTATTATTTTTGTATCTTTAGTTTTGAACTTAACATTTATGATTATTTTTGGATTGTGATTTAGCATGTGCATTCGTTTGTGTGAGGACCGAATGTGGCAGTAACACTCAGTGAATATTATGCTTGCGCTGCAATTTAAACTCTTTTGAATTAAATATTTTCGGAAATTCTTTCTACACTTGCTATAATTAGTATCTATTTTGGGTATGAATTTGGGGGTCTTACATGCTAGCTGACTTATCTTATACCTAAAAAACTACATATGAGAAGAAAATTATTTCGCTCAATTGTTAGCCGGTTTATCTTATCTTACACGTAAAAGTACAACATATTAGAGAAAGTTTTCCCGATCAATTGTTAACGAACTTATCGTATACCTAAATGCCACTACATATGAGAGAATTCTCATGCTCAATTGTTAGCCGACTTATGGGTTAATTTTCTTATACCTAAAATAAAATGTTCCACCGAAAAATACTACATATGAGAGAAAATAATAATGCTCATTTGTTAGTCAACTTATCTTATACCTAAAATACATACATATCAGAAAGAAAGTTGTTTCGTTCAATTGTTAGATCATTTATCTCACACCCACAAGTACCACATACGAGAGAAAAAATTATCTCGCTCAATTGTTAGCCGGCTTATCTTATACCCAAATTTAATGTAATTTGCGCAAATTTAATGTATTACTTATTGATTGAATATTACTCTTTTCATTTTTAAATAGCTTAACACATAACCAACCTATAAAAATAAAGATTTTTTTACTAACATTAAAATTAATTTTATATTTCACGGATATATACATGTACATGCATATATTGTGTGTATATTCAAGTAATTTTTAATGTTAAACCCACTCCACTTCGCATTCTTGGATTCGCTCCTCAATTTCAAAAGACGGGTTTTACACTTTTAGTCCTCAGATTGTACCGTCAGTGACACTTTTGGCATTCAAATATAATTTTTTTCTTCATTTTTAATCTTTCAAGCTTAAACTATTGTGTGAGAGACAATATTCATATATGTTTTTAAAATCTTTATATTTAATCTTTCGATTTTCATAAAAGTGACACTAGTGATCATTCAACTATTGTCACATTGGCAGTTGTATTGATGACAACCACATTAGAAGAATTACAATAGTGAATTTTACAATACTTTACATGGTACAGTGAAAAATATTATTAAAAAGTGTCATATAATTTACATTAAATCATGAAATAACACAATGTAATCTTTTTACATTCCTACCCTTTATTTTGCCCCCAACCAAACGCATCCTAATTAAGCAAGTAGTACTCCCTAAGACAGCAAGGGCTTAACCCCGAGGAAGATACGGTGTCGTTCGCCAAGTAATGTAACTCATCCCACGGTATATTCCCCTCGAACCCTTTGCTCCTATCCGTCGAGCGCGTCGTCATTCCCTGCGCTGCCCTCTGCCGCCCCATCAATCAATCGAATTCATACCTTGATTCAATGTTGCAGCCATAAAATTGCACAATAAGACGCTTCCTGCTCTGCAGATAAAGCTTCGGATCACTCACGAAGTGTCATTTTTGTTATTAGGCCTTCGGTTTTGGGGGTCTTTCGGGGCTCAATAATCCTTGATTGTATATTTGCTGAGTTTCGCCAGGTATCTCTTATATACAGCCCCATTGCGGTTTCTATAACTTTTTTACGATCTCGTTATATTTCTATTTGTTATATTGAATTTTTATTTATTGGATTTCTTTTACTTGGAAAATTTCTGTCTTTGTTTGTATTTTATTATTCCTGCGAAAAAATTCTTTTTCTCCGACGCATTAATCGTTTTAGTATTCTCAATTCAGAATTCATATTTATGTGATGATTAATTCTTTTTATGCTCCTTTGTTGCGCAGGTGCACCGTAATTTCGGGGAACCCCTTTCTTTTTCACCCTTTCACTCCTTTGTTTTCCTCGAGTGAAAAGAAGACCTAAAAACTATTCATTAATCTTGTTTGCACTGATTATCAGTAGATAGGCTGCAAGAGAAGAGAATCTCAGGTGGTATAATCTTTATGATAATTTTCTTTTTAATTTTCTATTTCTGTATTTTGAGCATGTGTTTTTAACACTTTTATATTCCTTCTTTATTTAACTTAAATTGCTACAGTGACTACTTTCATGCGTGTTGTGGCTGCATCACCTATTCACCTTTATATATTTTGATATAATGGTCATGCAGTGATACAAATGTTAGATCTCATCATGCGATGATGCAAATGTTTGATCTTGTCTGCAGTCTCTGTACTGAAATTCTTTTCACTCACTTGTAATTTCTTTTGGAATCCAGCAGTATCTTTTGCTTCTCGGATGGCTTCAGATCCCTCTCACCATGGATTGTATGATGATGGAACTCAAGAG